TATAAATATTATGTATTGTTGTAACCTTTTATGCCATGTTTATATCCAATTATATTATATTCTTTCAGATAAAGGTGTAATCCCGTCAGAGTGCAAGGAAACTGCTGATTTGTTGTTATTCTTTGATAATCTTTTTGATTCATTAAATGGGAGTTTCGAGAAAAAACATTTACATGCGAATCCTGCACTTGGACCGGTAACCCCCAAATCGATACACCACAAAATTTGGAGAAATGCAAGAAAGATTATAAAGACAATGAATTTTATAAACAAAGGAAAAATTCAAAATGTCCCTACCTTACAAAACTGAATATGGACACTAGATGGGATAGAAACACTTGTAAATGAACTTGAAAAGAAGCATGGAGTGAGCTCAGTTTGGATGCGGTACCTAAATCAGGATCCATTCAAAATTTTTTTGGCTCCATTAGGAGTCATGGGTGCCGCAATACGAACCCCACTCCTGAAAGGTTTCAATCAGCATTTGCGACATTATTAATAAATAGCCTGTCTAGTGTCCATGCCCCCGGAAATAATTGTGAAAATGATTTTGCTACAGCATTACACGCCCTCGTGATCAATGAGGACTGCAAAGCCAGTGTACATGGAAGTTGATTTATTAGATTTCAATGAAATTAATGTGATATCGATCGAACAAAAAACATCTAATCCGGTTATCAGAGCGGGACTAGAATACTGCAGTGGTTATTTCGCGAAAAAAATTAAAGATAAGATATTTAAAAAATGCCAATTGTGCAAAATTTCTTTTATTAATGAAAGTGAATCAGAATATATAAAATATCGTGAATTCCAAAAAAAGCAATGGCTTTGCAGTCCTTCAAAAGAATTATTGCTTGTTGTAAGTGAAATGCAGGACATTATTTATGAGGTTTTAATGAAAAAAATATCATCTCCAATGATTAAAGAATTAATAAAAACAATAATATTGATGTATGTAGATTTTAATTTTATTAATTGTGATTTACATAAAGAAAAAAATATTGAATTTATTGTTAATTTTGTGAGTAGATTTTTCATTTACAACTATTGTAAAAACATTAATAAAATATTGTATGGTAGACGAAAAATAGATGATCAAGAAGATGTTTTGCAAGTCAAAGCGCAAAATCATATTAACAAATGTTTTAAAAGGAAATAAAATACAAAATATTTTTAAAAACAAGCTTTACCCTTATAATGGCTGTTTTTGTTATGTGATAAGTTGCCAAGCGAGCTGGCGGTTCACCTGATGTTAGGTGAATACCGCCGCCCATTGAAATCTGCTACGCCCGAGGGTTGCAGATGCATTGTCACCAAGGATCGGTTCTTGGCCTGGTACTTTACAATATATTTACATCTGACTTACCGGTTGATAATAATATCACCATGGCCACATATGCCGATGACATAGTCTACTTGTTTGTAGACAACGATCCTGCTACTGCCAGCCACAGGACTGCTTCAGGACCAACTTACATTAATATTGCCTTTTTTCTAATTTTGATGCGATAAGCTTCAAATATAAACTTAATTACTTCTTTATTTTCAGTACCTAAAAAAATTTTGTTTTTAAAAATGTTTTGTATTTATTTCCTTTTAAAACATTTGTTAAAATGATTTTGCGCTTTGACTTGCAAAACGTCTTCTTGATCATCTATTTTTCGTCTACCACACAATATTTTATTAATGTTTTTACAATAGTTGTAAATGAAAAATCTACTCACAAAATTAACAATAAATTCTATATTTTTTTCTTTATGTAAATCACAATTAATAAAATTAAAATCTACATACATCAATATTATTGTTTTTCATTAATTCTTTAATCATTGGAGATGATATTTTTTTCTTTAAAACCTCATAAATAATGTCCTGCATTTCACTTACAACAAGCAATAAATTCTTTTGAAGGACTGCAAAAGCCATGCTTTTTTTGGAATTCACGATATTTTATATATTCTGATTCACTTTCATTAATAAAAGAAATTTTGCACAATTGGCATTTTTTAAATATCTTATCTTTAATTTTTTTCGCGAAATAACCACTGCAGTATTCTAGTCCCGCTCTGATAACCGGATTAGATGTGTAATGCTGTAGCAAAATCATTTTCACAATTATTTCCGGGGGCATGGACACTAGACAGGCTATTTATTAATAATGTCGCAAATGCTGATTGAAACCTTTCAGGAGTGGGGTTCGTATTGCGGCACCCATGACTCCTAATGGAGCCAAAAAAATTTCTAATGGATCCTGATTTAGGTGCCGCATCCAAACTGAGCTCACTCCATGCTTCTTTTCAAGTTCATTTACAAGTGTTTCTATCCCATCTAGTGTCCATATCCAGTTTTGTAAGGTAGGGACATTTTCAATTTTTCCTTTGTTTACGGACGGGATTACACCTTTATCTGAAAGAATATAATATAATTGGATATAAATATGGCATAAAAGGTTACAACAATACATAATATTTATAAATTTTAAGTACTGGTAATTATTTTACCTGATAAATAGCCCATATTTGCAGCTATAGTTTGACTAAAAATTTGGATCGCATATTTTACTTTCATTTTATTTATTTGTGAAGGCTTTATATGGTTCTCTGTAAGTTTAAGCATAAACCTGATCCCTTGATAGGCTGGATTTTCTTTATATAAGAGCTCCAGGTTTTGCCAACTTTGCTTTTTTGCTTGGGCTCCTCTCCTCTTCTGAGAAAGTCAACTCGCGATTCTTCCGTCAAGCACTTAATGGCGTTTCTATTTCCTGAGCCTTGATCACAAACTGTTGCAACAACAGTTAATCCAGCCTTTGTTAATTCCCGGATAAATATCTTGATTAGTTTAGCTAATTCCGGCCCCTTTGTGGCTGACGCCGAAAATGTATACCCGACTAGCTGCTTGTAATTTTTAATAAGCCTCTTACCATAAAAACTTGTGCATGATCTGCAAACCGTTCATGTGTATCGAAACCATTATTTACGAACCCAATAACTTTATCCGTTCTTTCATTGTATGTTAAATTTGCTTTCAAAGCCATTTCGTCAAATAACAGAATACATAATTTTTTCCCTCGCCTTCAATATCTGTACTTGCTGTTTTAATTGAGAAAATATAGGGTTTACTCCAGGTTGAATATTTGCGTTGTTAATTAGTTTAATCAAGTTTGAGGGGCCCGGAAGTATAAAATATTTCTAAATAGGCCGTATCTTTCGGACTTCGTTTTAATAAGGACAAGGCAATAATTTTTTCATTGTATGTAAATCGTCTTCTGTCTTCTTTGTTCTTCTTTTTGTTTTCACGAAACTGCAACATTGTGAGTATTTTACCCGAATTGGCAGGTTGTCCAGGGCTTTAAGAACTTTTTGGTTTGTTAAAATAAACTATTTTTTATTATTAAAATATTTTTACGCATAAATAAAACATATTATATTTTTATATTTGCTCAGCTTAATTCTTAATACAAATAAAATAAAACCTTTGTACATATTTGTATTGCATATGTAACATAATTGTCGACATGATCTGATGAGGGAGATAGTAATAATGACGGTAGCTGTGTTATACCTAGCTTAGTTTGTTAGTTTTTGTAGGTATATATAGATTGATTGAATTGTTCTTAATGAAACGTTTGATCTTACATAATTGCTAATATGATCTGATGATGGAGCTAGAAATGATGAGGATGTGAACTTGTTGGATCGGTTATCATAAGGGTTATCATAAAAAAAAAATATTTTTAAAAACAAGCTGTGTCCTCAGGGTTTGGTGGAAAAAATTTCATCCAAGCTAATCTAAGCATTAGAGTTAGGACCGAGGGGCTGGTAGCTTTTAGCTGGAAGCTTTGAATAGGTTTAATTTAGGTTAAGTTTTGTATTATTTTAAATAATTTTAAGTTAATGTTTGTAAATAAATTATTAAACTTTATAAGTACCAAAATGTTATGTAGAGCTTGTCGCGCGATTTAAGAAAAGATGAAACCATTGCGACAAAAGTGTTCATAATAACTTTGTAAAGTAGCAATCGAATTATAAAGTTTCGAAATATGTTTACAGTATCAATAAAGAAGTTTATATGTATTCCGAGTTTCATTTAAATTATTTCTTAGTATCTTCATCTTCTTTAATTAAATTCTTAATTTGCTTCGAAAAATATAAATAAATAAAAAAAATACTAATCAACGTCAAGGTCAGCTGATCTAATATTTTTTTTCCAACTTGTAAATACAGATGGCGCTAGCTGTAATAGTTACCCAAAAAACCACTGAGTTAAGCCTCTATTTCCCTATATACAAAAGTACTCTGTGCCTACGGACGCCTGGGCCGACTGAAAATCAGCGCCGCCGCAATCTTGCGCGGCATATGCTGAGGCGGTCCGCACCGTCACTACTTTAAAATTTACAAATACCTTTAATTTTTGTTTTACTTTCACTATTTTTTTTAAATTAATTTTGTTATTTTTGTTTATTCATTTTTTGTCGTTTTTTTTCTTTTAATTTTAATCTGTAACTAAATGTAACATAATTGTAAACAGATTAAGTGACGGATTAAATGTCATGTCTTATGTAAATGTCTTATATGGGCCGATAGTTATTTTTATCAGAATTGTTCCTAGACTTATTTGTTAATAAGTCACTGCAATACGACACAGCACAGTAACTGCTCCACTGAGTCGCCTAGTCAATACTGTTCAACAAAAAAATAATACTATATACCAGAATTCTATTGTTTGTCCCTTTCTCCATTTTACACTATTCAGCTTAACCGTTTCATGTAAAAGATACATTTAAATATAATTCGTTAAAAAGGTAAATAAGAGAAAGTTTCTTCTTATCTAAAGACATGATTCCTCAACACGTTTGTAGGTTATTCATAGCGTTGAGGAGTGCCAAGTTAGTGAAGGCCATACTAATTTATCCCTTATAGTGAAGTGATAAACTTTGAGCTTTTTTTTTAAATATACCATTCAAGAGTTTCAGACCACCATCTCCTTTCCTAGGAATGCTAAGACGAGATAGGGGTCACGGTGCAGTAGAAAATCTCGCCAAACTGCGCCAGGTCCCAATAGAATACCGGATCGGGTTTTGGTTTTGTCTGGCTGCCGTTGTGGACAGACTGTGGCTGTTGTTTACGATCTGCAGCCAACTTCTTGGAAAGGAGCTCTTCACGTCGGTCTTCTGTGAGGTCGTGGTACTTCCCCGGACGGACATGCCCGTTCTTGCTTCAGCGTAGACATGCGTCATGCGTGGCACTACCATAGTAGTAAGTTGTAGATCATCTGAAATGCAGCGAGACTAGCAATAAAAAAAAAACATTTCATAATTTATTCATACTTAATTTTACTGTGTTAGGGCCACGCCGCAGCTTCTACTACTGCATGAATCAACCGGGGTAGTACCACGGCCTCACAAAAGACCGGCATGAAGTGGAAGTATTAAACTATCGCGTGTCGTTTGACGAGTGAAATAATTGAGGCCCACTTTTAAATGGTTGTCAAGGTCTATACACAGGTAGGTACTGCAGATGTCCATGGGCGGCGGTAATGACTTATTTATTTAAGCATAATTGTTAAACCTTAAGCTAAAGGCTACAATGGGCGGACTTAATGCCTAATGGCATTCTCTACCAGTCAACCCTTGTCATGGTGAAAAGTAGATGGTAGGTGCTAAATGAAACTATAAAAATTTAAGTTAATACGTTAATAAATGTGCGATAAAATGTAACATATATGTACATAAATAAATATATAGATGCATACATATAAATATATATATAGAAATAAATACATATACGGATAATAAAAACACAAATGGACTAAGTGATACAAAGTCAATGATTTAACAAGACTTAATATGAAATGAATTGCCATCTCGTTTGGTGAAAGAGACACAGCCTGGTAAGCGAAGCGGAGTAACCTGATAGGCCACATTGAGACCTGCTCCTTAGACATCCTGAGGAAGTCTATTGCTCCGGGCACTGGTAGAGCCGCGGGGCTGCTGAATGCAGCGTAATATTGCTCCCGGGACGAGGCTAACTTAACCAAGCAATGACCGTAGTGTTTAGTCGCTGCAAGTCTGACGTACATAACCTGGTTACTTCCATAACGGTACTCCCCACGTTAAAAACGGCTACAATAATTTTGAACTCCTCCGTTCTTTTATAAAAGATTTATTATAATTCAAAATTAAATGTTTTAACTCAACATGCACCATTCCAGGCTGTCTTACACACAGTTATTAGAAAGATATGAGGTATTGAGTTTGGAGCCCGGACGCAGTCTCATTATGGGCATTCATCATCATATTATATCAGCATGGATTATTTATTTAGATATATTTTTTATTTAATTTAACAATAAGAAGATTACCAACATCATGCTTTACTTTGTACTAGGAAGTACCAGTATTATTTATTATTATTAATTTATTGTACCAGGTGTCACAAGCCGCGAGGCACGCGTTCCCCGACTATTCTTTTATACTGAAAAGTGTAGATTTTACTAAAACTTAATTAACACAACAAAAATTACGATAATCGAGTGGCAGTAGTCAAAGAAATACATAACATATAAAGACAGATAAATAAAACGACTCAGACATATAAATACGATTTTATTTCATACGATGACATTTAATTGTACTTGCGTAACAAAAACCTTATTTTACCATTAATTTGATCGTAGCTGTCTCCAAAGTCGATGCTAAACAATAAGTTTATCCAGATTCTTTAGCTGCCGATATCCCACATTTTTTAGGAGACTTTCATAAGAGAATGTGGCCGAAGAGCACTCTGTTACCCGGATGGCAAGCGACCACCGCAGCCCGTGGGTACTAGTGCACGTGGACATCGGGTGGTAAATGAAACTCAAGCGATCGTCCGTATTAATATATTCTCAATAGAAAGACAATAGGAGCTCGGCGTAGCGTGGGCGGCTGTGCGGACGGGCTCTGCGGCGCCGCGAGCCAGCGATAGAATTTGAAAACTTTAACACAACAATGGGGGTCCGCCTAGCTAGGGCGCGTGCGCACAGTTCAGCGTAACAACGCCAACGTTCGGATCGTGCTCGGTTTGATTCATCGCACGGCATCTATTTGTACTTGCACAAAACCTCCTCCGACTGCCACGTATCCAAGTGTCGTAAGTGTACAAAAAAAAAATCATACAAGTATCCCAACTGTATAACTACGTACACAATTATGACGCAATAGCAAGAGAAACAATTGGTCGTTTGAGTTCTGTTAATAGTACGGTGATGGATGAGACGTGTAGTGAGTGATCGAGTATTGCTTTTTTCAATGCGAAGTTGCACTAGTGAGTAGTTATGATTACTTAATTTAAACCTAGATATTAATGTGGCGAACGCGATGTGCACGGCGCTCGCTCGGCCGGCCACGTGCAGAGCCTATCTGCTCAATGCTCACTCCTCTGTTCACGCCTACATTAGCTGGCCTTTAGGACTGGAATACGATTTCAATTAAGCTGTATAGTCCGCACGTTTATAGCATACGTTCCTAGTGTGTATTGTTATAGGTCTGAGCTTAAATCTGAAGCATAATGTTTTCTCACATCTTTGCATACTGCGCGATCAGATTTGATTTTACACCCGCACTCCTATACCCTAATGTAAAGCCGTTGTGCTAATTAGCACGAGCTATTAATCTGACTTACTTAAATTGTGTGCTTAATATGCTATTCGATATTGGCATACTTTAATTAAATTAGTTTGTATTCCAGCCCTAAGAGTGCACTCGGGCTCTCGGTCACGAAATTTACCCGTTTATACAAAATGTGACATTTTTTTTAATTTATAATTCTTTTGCGAGTGTTTGGGAAAACAGATCGGAGAATTTTGAAGCATCTTACAAAGATCTATTTAATATATAATTTATGGGATGGCGGCACAGCAATTTTAATGATAATTAGATATGCAAATGAAGTATAACTTCATTTGCGTTTCTTTCCTTAATTCTTCAATCATTATTAATTCATTCCTTCAATCTTCATTTCTTAAGTTTATACATAAAACGGTTTTTCCTTAAGTAAAATAATATTTTGTAACAGCTATTGAATATAATATGTTGTACATGTACTTAAACGAGATTATGAATTTATGGAAATAAGACAATAGTACTAATTCCTTAAGACATATTAGGAGCGGCTTGTAGCTGTCACTGGTGGTTACGATACGTGGTCCGTGCGCGCAGAGCATTAACGACATGATCTTCCTTACAGGTTTAGGATCATCACAGTTATATAATAAAAAGCCAGCAAACCGTAATAATCGGTAAAATGAAAAAAAGCGTTATCGCTTATAAATGAGGTTTTTATGACACCTTTAAAAGACCCCAAGAAAAGGGTAAAACGAAGACAATTTAGCTTTGATGATTGATATCTTGCTTTACGCAATTTTACACAGCTGAATTTTTATTAGCGTTTTCTTGACCTTCAGAGTCGTGTCGCGTCGTTAAGTGCTTTGGTGGCTATTGTGCCGCAATATGCGTGCTTCTTCGTCTTATGAAGTTTAACAGAAAGAGGATTAACACAACCCGTAAACGTTACGTTGGCAGTATTACTAAAGTATTTCGATTTACTTTCAAGGAGATTCACAGATCATTATACTACACGTACACAATTGAAGACGATTATCGTTCCAATGCCGAACGAAACACGAACGCGCTAAACCGATTCATTTTGTGCTTCAATATACTGTATTTACAATATGTTTAAACACTTGTCCGGTAAAATAACGTATGTTCCCTTAGTCCTACATGGTGTACTAGTTTATATACGGACCAAGACAAACTTAGGTTGACAACCACGAGTAGCGCCGGGGTCGCGGAAGATTGCGTCTTCGTGTTTCCGTGTCCCCGGCCGATGCGACAGAGACTGGCGCAAAGTTGGTTTTTAGCGGGTACCCGTCTATAACCGGGACTCCGGGACCATATACCCCTAATCCCATATCCCATATACCCACCGATCCTGTGGCAGGGACCTCTAAAGAATTTTTGCCACATCACGTTGCATTTGTGGCAGCGAATAGTGCAAGGCGAACAGAGAGAGTGGGCGGCACGAGCGAGCAGCCGAGCGAGTCAGTCGTGACGTCATATCCGCCGGAAGCTATTCGTTGCATAGCATCGCTATCTATCGCCGCGACGATTTAATGTAACAATGAGTGAGTGGCGGTGCATCAAGCGATCGCGGCGTACAGGACGATTCACACCCAACGGCGCGCGTGTCGTCGTCGTTTTCGATGCGGTGAAGGAACAAAGGTTTCGATGCGGCACCTAATTGTTTTAAAATTTGTATCTTAAGTGAGTCGTGGATGTTAAACATGATTGACGGCGCGATAACACAGCGGGAACAGTATGTGCGCCACGTTCGGTGTGAATCGCGCCCAACGCCCCCACTCTACCTATCGACGAATATGTACAGCGAGCGGCGGGCGCCGTGAACGCATACGTTTACGATCTAAGCGTATTAATTACAAGGGGAGAAGGGGAGGGGGTGGTGCGGCGGGCGGTGCGGGGGGCTAGCGCCCGACGCCGCCCGCCGCCGCGCGCTACACGAACTCGCGTCGCCGCGCCGCCGCCCCCGCGCCCCCCGCGCCGCCCCCCGCACCGCCCCCCACGGGGCTGCCGGGAGGCTCGCTGGGCGACGTCGGCGTCGGCACCTGGGGCGCCGCGCCCTTGCTCCTCGCCTGAAAATTACGTAGTCGGTTCGGCCAGCGCCAGATTTAGAGGTCTGGAGGCCCCGGGGCAGTAAAGGAGTGGAGGCCCCTTGGCCCTAAATTATTTTCCAAATAAAATTATCAATTTTTTTCAGTCGAGTTTTCCAATAATTTATTGTGAAAACAAGTATAAATATGAAAGGAAAAGTTGTTTACTAGTGTTTACTAGTCTGAATTTGAATTTTTTTTCGAAGTCTATTGTGGGGCCCTGTTTTGTGGAAGCCTCCCCTGAATCTGGCCCTGGGTTCGGCTCTGAGCAGCGAGCTCTATGTTAGACTGATTATGGTGCCATGAGATTATTGAAGTCTGTTCGAATGTTATTTTTCAATTTTCAGTGCTAGTCTTCGCACATAACATGTAAAATTAAAAATCAAAATTTTTTCGACCCTTTCGGATTTCGCTACCCTGTTGATGTTGCATTGCTAATAAGCCAATAAAAACAAAATGGAAAGGATATCGACTATTTCTCGCGAGGAGGACTAAAAACGCTTAGCTTAGTTCCCAGATCCAAAAAAAAGTTGTGACATTTTACCTGCATATTTTCGCCACGTTCTAAATTGAATAAGCCTTTACTAAGTTAAGGTTCCTCAGCGCTGAAGGAGAATCGTGAGCAAACCTGCATATTTTGTAATAATAACAGAAAAAATATTTCGAAGATACGCAACTAGGGTGAAGCGACAATCCGCAGTGGGGCCGGTAGACTATGCCTTGATACGGAGGCTATGTTCAGTGGGTCATGTATAGGCTACTACTTTACTTTACACCATTCTCGGACAGATGAGATGGAAACCTTGTAAGATTGTCGCACCTTGGAGCGCCGTTTCCGCACCGTGCTGGACGTGTCAGACGCGGGGGGAGGAGCGGGCGCGGGGGCGGGTGCCGGCGCGGGGGCGGGGGCGCTCGCCGAGTCCGACGGCGGCTCGGCGCCCAGCCGCACCGCCAGCAGCGTTAGCAGCTCTTCAACGCGGCCCAGCTGCCGAAACAAGTGACAGTGGTAGGGCCACGCAACAGTCTTCGCTGTTGCACGAGAATTAGTCCGTCCGGGTAGGTACCACGACCTCAAAACTGGCGTGAAGTGGGAGCGTTTCGCTTCTGCGTCTCGTCTGGTGAGTGAGGCATACGAATGCTATGGCGGCGGTAATTACTTAAAATAACGTAGCGTCGCGATTGCAATAATAACATTAAAAAAAATGGTCGGATAGGACAGTGGTTATGAGCATCCAGTTTCGGTTAGCCGTGTAAACTATATTTTGATTCCATCTAATTCAGAGGAACTAATTTCATTTAACGATTAGGCGCTGTCGCTACTGAACAAGCTCGTATCAACGCACTTCATACAGAGTCGTAAATATGTAGGTACTTATATGCGACTGAGGCCCCCCAAAAATCATATTTAGAGCGGAAGAAGGGGACAATGGTTGATTTTAAGACTTGTATAACATTGGCCATCCTGTATGATCTACGGTGGTCATGCACCTCGATTACACTAAGCCTGAGGTAGAGGCGGTGTAGCTTTCAGCACCCTATTAAGGTATGTTACTGTGGTAGGACCACACCACAGTGTCGCTGTTACACGAATGGGCAGGTCCGTCCGGGTTAGTACCACGACTTCACAGATGACCGGCGTGAAGTAGAAGTGTTACACTTCTGCGTTTCGTCTGGTGAGTGAGGGAGCCGGAACTCACTTTATTAAAAGGTCGCAACGCATCTGCAACCCTACGGCTGTTGCAAATGTACACGGGCGGCGGTTATCACTTGACATCAGGGGAACCGCCGGCTTGTTTGCCACTTTGGCACATAAAGAATTGATTCCTTGATGTCTCGTCCACTTGAAATCTTAGTCGCCTTGCGTTGCAACGAGCAGGGAAGAACAACAGGGGCTAGTGGGATTAGTAAATGCTATCTTTTCATGTTCACGATTAAGAATAGGATTGATGATAATAAAGAATGAACTATGCGGTTAGCGTTGTCAGATGTTAGAAATTTATTATTGATTTTTTTATGATCGAACCGCTCCTTACACGCAACCAAAGTGGTCTCAATGAGTCCATTCGGAGCTGCGAGAAATATACGTATATAGACTAATATTGCTTTAATTTGACTAATTAGATTACGCTACAAAGTATTCGGAACGTTGGGAATTGAAGATTTAAAAAAAGGCGATAGGTTCCGTCAAAAATGATCAATTTGGAGGAGCGGGTGTGGTGTAGTGTTAGCGTCAGGAGTCGTGAACCTTTTGCTGTAGCCGCTGCACTTCTGTTCGCACGTCACGTCGCAGCTCGGCGAGGGCGGCGTCGTGTGGGGAGGGCGTGCCGGCGGGGGGCGTCGTGGCGGCGACAGCGCTTGTGTTCGGCGTCGGCACCGGCGCTGGTCGCTTCTCGTCCAGCTCTTCGTCAATGGCGTCGCGGCGCGCCACCGCCGCGCTAAGCACGCTGGCCGCACGCCCTCTGGCGAATGCCGCCTGCAGCCGTTATATTGACGGTTTATGATGACGCATTGGCTAGGGCTTGACTGATTTCCCTACTGATTTGGGTAGTGTCGAGTCAGCTGTCAAGTTGACAATGACATACATATATGGTAAATGCGACGGTAGCGAGTTGTTATAACGCAGCATAGACTTATACCAGGGTGGCTTTTCTAAGTGCATCCATTTTTTTTATTAAATTATAGACATAAATAATGTTACATAAAAAAATGATAAATATTTAAAATCACTCGTAAGTAATTAATTACATTCATTTGAACTTATCTCAAAAAGTGCGTCATTTATACGCAATTTTCTTTACGCGCGATCATTCTAATACGCACTCAAGTTCGTGCTCTGTAAAATTTAGGTATTTATGAATTACTATTACTACCGCATTGTCAACAAGTTCTGTTTTTTAGGAAATAGAATGTTTTTTTTTGGAAAAAAAAACTTTTTTTTCATTTCAATAAACGATTATACCGAGTCTGCACTTCCTGTGTAAATTTGGGGACTTCTCAAAAAATCTCCCTGTACATGGGTAAGTAAAAATAAATAAAGTTATGAAAAACTTTCCACGGAGTCATCCAAGTATTTTTATTTCGATGACTCCAGCACATGCCGAGGATTCTGTGCTGGGAGCGTGAGCTCGGTTCCCACACGGGACAAGTATTTGTTTGACCCCGTTAAAGCTGTTCTAGATCAGGATGTTTCTCCACGTGTTATTTGCGTATGCAAAACGTCCACACAACAGGATGATGTTATTTTACAATACCAGCAATGTTAGAAAAACATGTATAATATTCTGGTTTGTCTATTAAACTTATTCTGTCAGCCTTCTTTACCCAGCTTTCAAATGAAAGGCAAAATCGAAAACCTTAAGACACAGAAACGCCGGTCGTGTTACAGATACGAACCGAAAATGAAAGTGGCACCCGAATTGTTATCATAATACCCGCCTTCAAAGACAGCGCGGTAGCCGTGTTCGCGGTCGACAGAGATGGCGCGTCCGCAGTGGGCGGTCTGTCGCGGGCGCTCATGCTCCTCGTGAAGGCGGTACGCGGCGCTTCGGCAGTGTCAAGCGAGCCGCCGGCCAAAAGGCGGCCCCACTTGCCGCGCACCGCCGCCTTGTCACTGGGCCCAGCGGGGGCGGGGTTAGCGCCGGCTTCACCCCGTTCCGCGTCCGCTGTCACCGTCGCTGTTTGTGTGGCTCCGGAGTTCGCTGTTTGCGTGGCCCCCGAATTCGCCGGTTGCGTGGCCCCCGAGGGCGGAGCGGGGGCGGGTTGCGCCCGCGCCGGCGCAGGCCCCGGGGCGGCGGCCACGCTCCGCTCCCGCCTGAACCGCGAGAATATCTTGCGAACGAGGTGGTCCTGAGCCTGCTCGAGCTGCGGCTCCCGCTTCCGCCGCTCCATCAGCTCGCGCTCGCGACGCACGTCTGCCACCTGCAAGTCATAGTAAGAACTGGTTGAAAGGTTTGACTATATAACCGTGGTAGGGCCACGCAACAGTCATCTTTCTTTTTTTTTAATTTCTTTAAGAAACATTGCACTTACTTTTGGATTTTACTCTGGAACATTACCCTGTGTTGTAAAGACGTTTTACAAACATACACGCGGAATAACATTCAGATGCGAAACAAATATCTGTGGGTTATACAAATAGTTGTCCCGTGTGGGGATCAAACCAACGAACCACGACGCCGAAGCCACTGTGGCACGGAATCATCAGCTTCTCTAATTGTGGGCAACGCGACAGTCAGTCTCTGTTGCATGAATGGGCAGGTCCTTCTGGGTAAGTACTACTCACAGAAGACCTGCGTGAAGTGGAAATGTTACACTTCTAAGCAGCGTCTGGTGAGTGACGCAGCCGGGGCCACTTTATTAAAAGGCGGCAAAGCATCTGCAACCATACTGGTGTTGCAAATGTCAATAGACGGCGGTTATCACATCAGGTGACCCACCGGCCCGTTTGCCAATTTATCACATAAAACAATAGACTCGATGCTCGTTCACCATTAAAATTTCTTGCCAGTGCCACCCAAGTAATAATAATTATCTAGTTAAGATTAAGTACCGAAATACATAACCGATGAAATTGTCGTAGTTGGCTTTAACAGTGGTACTTTAAACGTTGTTATACTTTGAATGTTCTTTTTTTATAAAGGAATGCCTTGTGAAAACCCCACCAGGTTTGTGTAGCAGCATCGATGCAGCCGTAGTTAAACGCACTAGCCCAATAAAAGCCCATTCACTTTGAATGAACTCACGTTTAGGAAAACTTTAGTATTTGCCTGCGAAGTGGGAAATGAACGGGAGGGCCTTACCTTGCGGAATATGAGGCGGTGTCTCAGGTTATATGTGAGCGTGAGGTTGCGCGCGAAGCTGTTGGCGAACGCTTGGTAGAAGTCGAGCACCTCGAGCAGTCTATCCCGCTTGATTGTGTGCAGGTCGCAGTAGGTGAGGGCGCGAACGTTGGCCGCCGACTGGCCCACCGCGGTGTCCTTCCAGAACGAGTCGCCGAACACGTCGCCTTTGCCTGACGGTGTCGATGGTTTTTGAACTCGTCCAGACCAGCGTGAAATTGAGGTAGCATAAGTGGAGGTTAAACTGTGGTAGGTTAAACAGTTCGCAGCTGCACGAACGGGCAGGTCCGCCTGGGTAAGTATCATGACCTCACAGAAGACCGGCGTGAAGTAGAAGTGTTATATTTCTGCGTTTTGTCTGGTGAATGAGGCTGCAAACGGCCGACGGTTATCACCAAACATCAGGTGAACCGCCAGCTCGCTTGCCACCTTCTCACATAAAAAAGGTGACCGTTCTACTTTTATAAAGGTTGTCACCTCGTCTGCAACCCCTCAGGTATTGTAGATACCCGTGACTGTTAGTCATTTAACATTAGGTGAAGCGTCTACGCGTTTTTCAACTTTTCACACTAAAACAATGTCATTTCCAGAGTTTGTCATATCACTTGACATAAGAGTTAGAGGTCAAAAACAAAGCGTTGGATTTGTTAAGCATGTAAACAACGAAACGGTGGAGAATCAACGGGGTGCGGACGGAATCCGTAGCAATCAGGGGCGGCTGACTGACCGAGAATCGCGACGACCTCGTCGTCCTGGATGACCTCTAAGGAGCCGGTGACGATGAAGCAGAGGGAGTCGATAGACTCGCCCGTGTGGTAGAGCAAGTCGCCGGGTGCGGAGTGCGACATGTGGAAGTGCATCGCCAGCGCCCTTAGACAGCCGTCGGACGCCAAACGGAACGCGGGATGCTCGTTGAACACCTTTCGGTTCAAGTGGACGCATATGTCCGCCTTCATGTCCTTCGGGCAGTAGTTCAGCACCTGTGGAATTTTAAGATCCAATCGCGTAATTTTACCCTCTTATCGTTTAATTTTAAGGATCAATCACGTAATTTTATCCTCTTATTATTTAATTTTAAGGACCAGTCGCGTGATTTTATCCTCTAATAATTATATCAATCATTGGGGATTAGTGAAGTCGGAAACCTATATCCAATGTGCTTTTTGTAGTCTAAAAATAATCGATTTAATGCGGTAAAAGTGTCGCTGTTTCCAAAAGTAGAATACATAATCGTATTGTCTATAGGACCATCATTCCATAGAGAAATACATCTTAAAAGTAGTTGACCTTATTTTAATACACACCTCGAGTATTTAAGTAAAAGATAATACGTAAGTGTGATAATAGTATTTTGCTTCAGAATTAAATTTAAGGCTTACAATTTTGAATGATTGGCAATAAGATTCCTTTGATGGAAACGGAAGAAAATTAAAAAAAAAACGTAGAAATAGATACTCACGATGAACATAGAAAATCTGCAAAAGAGTTTACAATTTCATTGCTTTGATACTTAAACTAGAGAAAGAGAAGAAAGGTAAAAATCGTGGAAGGTAAAGCTAAAACACGTAGATTGGTGCCCACCTTGTCCGTGTCCAGTCCCTTCGTCATGGCCCAAGTGGAGACCACGTAGTCCATGACGCGCTCGCTCAGTGCCTTCGGCACCTCGTGCAGCTTCATGAACTCGCGAACGTTGTTCAGCATATCGTGGTACTTGGCCGTCGCTGACGTCATCTGCTGTATGATGGTGGTCACGTGCCCGAATATCGTTGCGTACAACAGCGCTGCGGGCCGTAAGCTGACACGTTAACACATGGCCTGCTTCTTCGTGTGGCAACTCAAGTGTACTACAAAGTTTGTGCCTGAGGGAAGACTTCGAAAAATAGCCTGTTTAGAAATGGGAGTACTCAAATTGCCCAGACGATTCCTATCCATGCACCAGCACCAGACCTTATTTTCATTTAACCTAGCTAGTAAAAGACCATGCTGAGATAATAAAGACCAATCGCTTAAGTCAAATGACAAAAGGTATCTCAGTTCAGTACCTGCAGTTAATATTTCATTTCTTCCCTGCTTATGGGTTTCTGTTATGCTTATGCTTGTAATGGTACGAGCATAAGCACAACAGATATTTAATATGGATTAAAATTAGCTCACATTCAAAGTTTAGTATGCTTTGTCGTTGAAGTTAAATAATTTATAAGAATCAAATCAATCAATAAAATAACCAAATTAAAATTACTGTAATAAGAGATTATTTTTCGCATTGTGAAGAAAAGTCATAAAGAGTAAAATAATGTTACGTGTTTTAAATGGTATAGAGAAATACATGAGACATCACTAAAAACATCACGGTGATTGTAGCCTATGTCGATGAGATTTATAATAAAGATACTAGAGCAGTTTTATGTTATACAGTAAAATTACAACGTTAAAAGTGTCTCAGACTGTTTATACCTTTACGCCAGTCTGTGTGACGTCTGTGTTCGTAGCTCTACTGATCTGCAAACATAGCGACTCTTCGTGGGCCTGCACGGGGAAAGGATAGTATAGGGTGCAACAAAACTGCCAGAAAAAAATTAAAGAAAAAATTAATATGTATATAATCCCAAACCCGACAATTTGAATCTATAAAATTACATAAACGAATCAAATCTCTATATAATTTTATACATTCAAAGATTACGATGGTAAAAAGGAGCGTCGCGGTTGTGCATGATGAGTGAATGATATGTGGGTTACACACACATACACACAGTGCGACAGTAAACATTAATTAGCCAGTATACATCGTCTGATGTAGACGAGCATAAAGGGGGGGAGTTAAAGCATAGGAGAGGAGAGGCGCGGCCCCCACCGCAGCGGCTGCGCAAGGGGTCGCGCCGCGTGCTCCGGCTAATAAGAGAAGAATTCCGGCACCTGCCACAATCATCATGCAGATGGTGAAGATCTTCTCGTTATCGGTCTCGGCGGCGACGTTGCCGAAGCCCACGGAGGTCATGCAGGTCATTGTGAAGTAGAGCGCGGTGACGTACATTGTCTTGCGCGACGGCCCGTTCACCAGCTCGGGCCCATCGGACTCGTTCGACCACACGTACGAGTAGGGGCTCTGCGTCACGTTGGCGAGCTTCCACAGCCACGAGTACTGCAGGCCCGAGTCGGCGTCCGAGCGGCCAATGCTGTACCACACGCAGGCGAGCCAGTGAGCCACCAGCATGTAGAAGCACAGCAGCAGGATGAGCATGGCCGCCCCGTACTCCAGGTAACGGTCCAGCTTACGAACAACGCGCCCGAGGCGCAGAAGACGCACCACCTTCAGCGCGCTGAATAGGCTGCCGATGCCCTGGGGATGGAGTGCGTTGAAATCCGTACTGGATTGCGTTCTATTCGAGAGTTATGCTGATGTTAAATTTGTATCTGGATATCTGCCTTTGAGTTGACTGTTTTAGTTTCAGATATACTATCTTAAACGTGCTTGACCGTGTACGTGATGATTATGTACATAATGAAAAGGATATGTTTTGAGTATTCGAGGAAAAATTCTTTGTGGCTTCGTTTCAATTTCAATAATATCCAAAAAAACTCACATCCTCGTCGTGGTCGAAAGCGTTGAACACGTCATAGGGCAGACACGAGAGCAAGTCGATCAGGAACCAGGATTTGAAGTAGTTCTTCCTTATGACCTTCGGGTCACTGACCACCTCGCCGCCGGGGCCGACGAAGGTCGTGTGGAAGTTGAGTACGATGTCGATAAAGAACACAACGTCCACGATCGAGTCGATGACCAGCAGCGAGACGTCCTCGCTGGTCTTGTTCTTGAAGGCGACGTTGTACGGCACCATGATGGCGGTGTAGAAGGTGAGGCAGAGGATGATCCAGTCCCAGATCGCTTTGAAGGCGCAGTAGTGGAGCAGGATGTGGGGTGGGGTCTTCGGCGCCTCCTGGCGGTACTGCGGCAGCACGTCGCCCGACAGCGACAGCACCTGCCACATGCCGCGCGCCGCGCAACACTATGTAGTACCACAGCGCTCAGTAACTCCCCGCCCACTCCACCATCACGTGATACCGTGCTGCGTGATCTACCACACTCCGGCCAAGCGTGCGACACGTGCAGGCTGGGTGGGAGCGAGACGGTGCTCTCGGGTTGTGCGTTTCGCTGGCGGACGGTACTGAGTGCAGTGGTGCGGTAAGGTTAGAAGATTAGCTACTGTGATACCACAAATTCAGAGCCGTTACACACATACTTAGTTTCAAAACTTGAATTTATTGTAATTTTTTCAGGACTTAAATAATTCATTATGTCAACAGTTAGTAACTTTCACGGATTTGTCTTCGTAAAATAAATGTTATTTTATCTGAGGTATTTTTATCTGAGGATCTTTACAAGTCTGATAGACGAATTTAAAGTCTGTTCAATGACTTATTTTGATGAGTTTTTTGTAATCGATAATTGTGAAATTTAGCTTATATAAAAATTAGAAACTGTTCCTACAAATTTATTATGTTCATGTTATATAACATGTATATTGCATATACATATATGCGGTCGACCAAATAATAGCTTTACCGCCATTGGAATAAGTTTTGTTTCAACACGAAACTAAAGGGTCTATTATAGCTTTATATATTTTACTAGCTGACTCGGTAAACGTTGTTTTGCCATATAAATTTTTTCTAGAGGAATCGGAACGCATAAAGTGTTTGACAGGTTACACAGAAATAATTGACAGGTTGACAGGTACAGTTTGTATGTGAAATAAAACCGTTTAAAAACTTTTAAGTTAAACGGTTTTATTTTATGTTTTTTTTTTGTTAATATTGTATTGTCATCTAAATTAAATGTGTGTACCAAATTTCAGATCAATCTGACAACGGCAAGGTGCTTAAATTTCTGACCCTTGACCCATACAAACAAATTCCGTACGGGTCGAGCTAAATAAAACCGTTTAAAAATGCAATTTTCCCATAATTTCTCACCGTTTAAACCTTCCCTGGACTACCACAAATATTTCAAAACCAAAATTAGCTAAATCGGTCCAGCCGTTCTCGAGTTTTAGCGAGACTAACGAAAAGCAATACATTTTTATATATAAGACTAGCTGACTCGGCAAACGTTGTTTTGCATAAAGTGTTTGACAGGTTACACAGCCATAGGTGACAGGTACAGTTTGTATGGGAAAATAAAGTTGTTGCTATTTCGATTTTCCATGCAATTTTTACATAATTTCTTATCGTTTAAACCTTCCCTGGACTGCCACAAATATTTCAAAACCAAAATGAGCTAAATCGGTCCACCCATTCCCGAGTTTTACCGAGACTAACGAACAGCAATTCATTTTTATATATAAGAAGATATATTATAATCAATGTAATACTCATGAACAAATTTGGCGCTATGTGCAATGTGTGAAAAACCTCATATTTATATAGCTCTATACAAATAAATAAAATAGAAGTGCTTGCACGTTACTTCTAAATCCTTAATCCTAAATAATATTATAAATCTTAATGTAAGTTTGTTTGTTACGCTTTCACGCCAAAACTACTTAGTTGATTATTATAAAACTTTGTATATACAGCGTGTCGTTACCATCGCGACAATAAATGAACACACGTCTAACGCTACTTGCCAATAATCATAAAAAAATATTAACGGTAAACAAAATCCATAATTAAAAAAAAATATTTTCAAACAAACTAATTAAGTAAAAAAGAAACAAAATTTGTAACATCCTATACAACTCGCGCCACAGCGTCATATTACAAGCCTCTCGTTCTAACAGTATGTTTTGTCTCTTTTAAATTCATTCAACACATTCATATGCTTTGTGACCTTTACAAATGAACTTTACGTTACGCTTTTATAGGTAAGAGTGTTCTAAAATTCATTGTTTTGGAAAATTTAATAACTCTGTAAATATTGATGTTTAAAGAATTTAAATGTTTAATACAACTTTAAAAAGTTATCCCCTATATGTGTTCATTTATTTTCGCGATGGTAACGACACGTTGTATATATATATATATATATATATATATATATATATATATATATATATATATTTATGGGCTTTAACGCGAGTGAAGCAAAATCTCCACTGTTTCTGATGAGATCATTCTAGTAGAAAATTAACACCTATTTCTTTAAAGAGAGACCATAGAAGGAAATTTGTGCTTGTTCCATGGTCGGTTATCAATAAAACAATTACTAACAGATAAATACAAGAATGAGCCGTGATAGCTCAGTGTCCGGGCGCTCGCCTTTAATTCAATATACTCGAGCAGCCTGAGTTCGATCCCCGGTGCCGGCACCAATGAAGTTTTTAACTTTAAGTGCTGACTTATCACGTGCTCCGCGGTGAAGGAAAACATCGTGAGGAAACCTGCATATTTTCGAAATAATAACAAAAAATAAATCTATTTCGAAGATATGTGAAGTTCGCCAATCCGCAGCGGGGCCGCGTGGTGGACTATGCCCTGATACCCTCTCTATAGAGCAGGCCTTTGCCCGGCAGTGGGACATGTATAGGCTGTTACTTTACTTTTTACTTTAAATACAAGAAGTTTTTGTCAAAAGCAGTAAAGCAATTAACATGGTCGACCAAACGCTAAATGTTCTGAACATAATTTGAAATAAATTATTAATCACTGAATTTGTGGTCACTTCATTAGAAAAGATAATAACTAAACTAAATCGCACCATTCGGTCCTTATTAAAGATGGAAATATACACAAAAGGGAGTCAAAACATGCGACTATCCATATCTAGGTGCCGAATGCTGCGATGGAGCCACTTGGAACGCACGCGTGCGTCGCACGAGGCTCTGAACTCGCGTCGACAACGACCGAACTCTCCGCTGAAAAACTCCACTCGAAAAGACAAAGGTGCGAATTTAAAATGAGGGGAACATATGAGGGCCTAGGGGGAGACCTAGCGGCAGTACGTTGGATCGTCGACGGCGGCGTGCGGAGGAGTGGTAGAAATGCGTGCGTGTTTACATGGTGTGCGTTGGTACTGACATGCGCGAGCTGGCTCTGCCGCTGCGGCTCCTTGAGCGCGGGCAGCGCGGACACCAGAACGGACCGAGAGCGAGTAACGCTCCGCGCCAGTTTGGCGAACTTCGACAGACCTGCGAACAGACTGCGCATTAATAAGTTCTCTTAGTACATTGTTTTTATTTGAGGAGGTGGCAATCGAGTTTGCGGTTCAGCTGATGTTAAGGGTTGGCACCCGTTGGCAACAGCCGTAGGGTTGCAGATGCGTTGCCACCTTTTATTCAATTCGGCCCCGGCTACCTTAATCACCCGACGAGATGCGGAAGAATAACACTTCCACTTCTCGCCGGTCTCCGGTGAGTTTGTGATACGCGGTACCCGGACGGGTATATAAGCACGTGGCCGATCAAATGTTCTTAAACTTCCATCTTCGCAACTGGAATTCATCCCACGTTAGACATAGTTTATCAAAATGTCATATTTTTTTAAGAGGCTGGCTAAAGTCTCTCCAAGTCATGAACCAATAAAATGTAGGTTTTTCGAATTTCTCAAGTGCAACGATCAATCAATAGTCTTGTACCGTTATTTCTTAGCAATTGATGATTGGACAAATTTTCTTAGATACCTATGTTAGTGAGTTTTAACATGACGCGGCAATCAACGCTCTGTTGGAGCTAAGCTAGTGATCAGTGAGTTTAATCCAATAAACCGAAATTTCGGTTTCGTTCACATACATAGCAACGGTCCGTTACTTTTATTACGAGGTTAAGTGAAACGATAAAATTTCAACAGCTTTTTTTAGTTTTTAGCACTTTTTCTAACATGGCGGTAAGTACCTTGAAAATCATTATAAACAAAAATAGCATACAAAGATAATTAGTGAAGAAAAGGTTATCAAGTACTAATATTAATATTTACAAACTTGGGTAATCGTACCTATACAAGTTTGTAACTCAAAAAGATCTAAAATAGTGAGCCCGAATGTTCCTAATATTTTTTTTTTATACGTGAGGTTTCAAACAATATGAAATATGCGATATAGAGTTTATGTAGTTTATGTACTGTTATTAGTTATTGACTTAAGGAGAGTTAGCAACCGTGCTCATCTTAGAACTATGGTCTGTACTCTTGAGGCATTCTTAACGGCGGCATGAAGGATAATCTAAATTAAAAGTGAACAACAAAGTGGACCATTATTTCTGATAATATAACAGTGGGACACAATGAGTGAACTAGTTCCTGTCTTTTATGAACCAATTGCACGGAAAATGTCTTTGAAGTGGATGCGCTTTGCTTCTTCAACCGAGCCATATAACATTGAATTTAATGAAAAGAGCTGAAATCTATTTTAGCGTCACAGCCGCAGGTGTCGATAAAGCTTATCACGAGTAAGGCTTCCTTCTACATAATATCCAACTCATTGTGCCTTACGCGACTCACTTATTAAATTGATATTTTATTGTCTAGACATCGCCTGCTCAAATGTTTTCTGTCTCCAAAATCGCGGCTCGTAGTCTTAACGGTACATTTTATACTTATTATAATATGTGCAGTATGCTTTGACTGGTTGAAAATAAAGCTACGGTATCGAGTTGTTATTGGAACATTCACACTTTATTTATACATGCGTTCTTGGTAGTTATAAAATTATAAACTTATTCAGCCACAAGACATAAGATAATACAATGCATGGACAACCACCCGTTTCCTAGCTCGAAATTCAAGTAACGAAGCTAGTATTCTAAATGTCTTGACTCGATTACATATTTATACATTTGTAAGGTACATAAATATAAATAATGGCTACACCACTGTTTAGCTACGAAATTAGTATTAGGTACTTTATATTAGAAATGTTTATGTACTTGATTTTGTTACACACACAGATGCGTTCCTGGAGCGAACATTTATAAAGCTCACAAAAGATAAAGTTATATAATGCTAGCACGGACAACCGTCCTAGCCCGCCATTCAAGTAACAGCTGAATATCTCGGGTTTAACTAAACTACATATACATCTGTGAGGCGCATCAATGTATTACGAATTCAGCATACGATCCTATTAGAAATGCTTGTAATGTCTTTTATGATGTATTCTGGTCAGACAACTTCGTTATATTTTAAACAAAACAAGGTTATTTGGGATGACAGAGTTACAAAATTGAAGTATTTAAATTTATGAAATACGAGATTAACGCCCGGTTGCTGACTGATCATCGTAGAAGTCTACTAATTAGCTGTTAAATGGCTTTTCAAATGTTATTTGAGTTGCCAAAAGGCCTGTTAAACTCTCTGAATTGATCAGAATGATCTTAATGATCAGAATGACAGTGTTTCAGAAACCGGGCGTAAGAGATGCATTTACCGCAAGAATTGACAAATAAAAAATGAATTACATATGTAATAAATTATATTATAAATACTATTTCACATTATATGTATCATTGTATTGATATAATTTTGTCTGACACATATGTCATGAGTTTTGAATATAAACAATATAAGAAAGGTAATTAGTTGTTAGTTGTAATAGGATTTTAGAAACATTCATAGGAAGGCAAGGCTCAAGTTTTTCAAAAGCTAGGTGGTAGGCCTAGAAACAGTAGATCAGAATATGGAAATGTGTGTGAGTAGAAGAAAAAAATATAAACTTAAATTAAAATGGCGTCGAGATTAACTACAGAGGGGCATTATTTCTTCAAATCCTAATGTTAAAGACTACTAATTTTAGAAAAATGTAATGAATTAAATGTTACACCTACCCGGCCTATGAGGGTTGAAGGTATTAACAATGAGAGTGAGAATGCAGATATGCTCTAAGTGGTGAGAGCATTTTACTTAGTTGTCATAAAACGGAAACAAACCTAAAAAAAAGAGATAGCTCTATTTAGAAGTAGGCACACAACAAAAAGAGTTAACTCACCTCCCTTGGGGTCGTCAGCATCTATTGGCTGCTTGAGGGCGGTGATGTCCCGGAATGTGAGCAGGAACAGCACAACCAGCTCCCGTTCGTTTCGTATCGGCGCCACGTGCACCAGGAGCCATAGTGGCGTGCCTGAGTCATGAGATACCGAGATAAAAATATCGTAACATATACAGGGCAGATTTTTTGAGAAGTGCCTAAATTTACACAGGAGGTTTTTTTGAATTTAATTCTAGACATAAATAATGTTATATAAAAAATGATAAATATTTTAAATCACTCGTAATTAATTAATTACATTCAATTTAACTTATCTCAAAAAGTGCGTGATTTATGGGCAAATCATTTATTTTACGCGCGATCAACGCACTACACGCACACAAGTTCGTTTCAAAAGTATACGACGCATTTATGAATGACTACCGCATTGTCTACAAGTTCTGTTTTTTAGGGAATGGATATATATATATATATATATATATATATACAGCGAGCCGTGATAGCTCAGTGTCCGGGCGCTCGCCTTTAATTCAATATACTCGAGCAGCCTGAGTTCGATCCCCGGTGCCGGCACCAATGAAGTTTTTTAACTTTAAGTGCTGACTTATCACGTGCTCCGCGGTGAAGGAAAACATCGTGAGGAAACCTGCATATTTTCGAAATAATAACAAAAAAAATATATTTCGAAGATATGTGAAGTCCGCCAATCCGCAGTGGGGCCGCGTGGTGGACTATGCCCTGATACCCTGTAGCAGCAGTGGGACATGTATTGGCTGTTACTTTACTTTACTTTACAGCGTGTCGTTACCATCGCGACAATAAATGAACACACGTCTAACGCTACTTGCCAATAATCATAAAAAAATGTTAACGTTAAACAAAATCCATAATTAAAAAAAATATTTTTCAAACAAACTAATTAAGTAAAAAAGAAACAAAATTTGTAACATCCTATACAACTCGCGCCACAGCGTCGTATTACAAGCCTCTCCTTCTAACAGTATGTTTTTGTCTCTTTTAAATTCATTCAACCCATTCATATGCTTTGTGACCTTTACAAATGAACTTTACGTTAAGCTTTTATAGGTAAGGGTGTTCTAAAATTCTTTGTTGTGGAAAATTTAATAACTCTGTAAATATTGATGTTTAAATAATTTAAATGTTTAATACAACTTTAAAAAGTTATCCCCTATATGTGTGTTCATTTATAGTCGTTTATTATTCCAGTCTCCTGTGACCCGTTTCATTTTATTAACAATACGTAACACGAAACCTTTTATGATGAAACACGGCTCCTCAATTTCGAGCGGGCACGATCGAAATTAAACATGGCCCTTTCTCGCTTTTTTCGCTTGGGATGATTTTAAAATTCGAAACGACCGTTTGCAATGTTTGCCTTCAGTGGTCTGTTAATAGCAGTATGGTACACTGCACATACTAATGCTCGTAATAAGAAATGGTACTAGGTAATAAAAAACAATGACCTACATTTGATTTCATGGTAATTTTTTTTTATTAATGTGATTTAGACCGATGTGACTTGATACTTGAACTGTCAAGTGGAATATTCTAAAGGTCAAAGTAGCAGCAGACGTGTCTATTAATCTTAGACACATTATTCTTTCCCGCGTTCTTGACCTAACAAGAGTTAGTTCAAGATGGCTGTCGCAAACGCTCAGCACAGAAAGAAGTGCCGTTCGAGTGCTGTAGAGTTTTTAGAAGGACTGCAGTGAAGATACCTCAAGTATTTAAGACAAAAATGTTCTGGCCATAGAATTCGTCAACATTATGATAGTCGAAGCTGTTTTAGGCATTGGTGTATTTGTATAAAGATATCAAGAAAAGACATTATGCAAGAAAATTTATTTTGTTTTCAACTGTAGATCTCATACCTTATAGAATGTGGATAAAAGATTAAATTAATAGTGAAAAGTAATAAGTAACCCAGTTAACGTCGGTGGTGGATATCTATAATGACATGTTTAGTTGCAAATACGTCGCCCACCTTTGAGTTGAAACGATAGGGATGATCATTTGAAACGAGAGAGGTCGCCTGTGCTTTTGCAATTTTAGGATTAATCCTGAACTGAAGTTGTTAGGGTGCGAAATACTGACGGTTCTTCTTGTATAGCAGTATCTCGAATTGGTCGGCGAGATGGTGGTCCAGCGCGCTGTCCACTCGCTCCACAGCCTCCTTCTCTGTCAGCTCTCCATACATCCACGTGCACCTGCGACATAAACTCTTCCTCCATCTAAAGGTCGTCGATTACTAAATACCCAGCATTATTTAACGCTTCTCCTTACTCTGTAAATGTTCTATGGCATTATTCACCCTTATCCAGCAAAGTATTTCATTTTTTAGGTTTTTTTTATTTTTTCATTTTTATAAATTGATAGGATCCAAGTAGTGGGGCAGCGATTCCAGAACGGGTTGGGGAACTACTGACCTGCATGACTTTTGCATGACCTCGGCGCGGTTGTAACCACTCATTTTGCAGAAGGTCTCGTTGCAGTACACGATGGGGTAGTCCACGATCTGCGCATTCGCCAGGAGGAAGCTGCTGTCTGCTGTAGGATAAGCGACGGTCAGCCGTGACCAGCCACGTGGCAAAGTTCGCGTTTAGTTGCAATGACGTATACCTCAGTAAATAAATACATACCTTATAAAGTTATTAACATAAAGATAGAAATTACGGAAAGTGTTAATACTAATGTTAAGTAAATTTCGCCTATGGAAGGCGTGTTAAAGCCAAATAAAGAGAATATCTGTTAGGTTTCACCTTATTGACAAAAGTAGCAAAACGGTCGGTTGTGTCATGGAAGACCGACAATACGGAGATATATATGTATTTTTGCGTCTCGTTTGGTAAGAGGGGTAAAGAAAGTTACGAGACAAAGGTCGACAAAGCTTCAGAAAATACTGTGCATACTGTTCATGGGGTACGGTGAAAACATCAGGTGCACATGTCAGTTAATCTTTTCTGTAAAGGTCGTGGTATTTACCGGGACGGATCTGCCCATTTGTGCAACAGCGAAGACTGTTGCGTGTTCCTACAAAAGTTGTTGAGTGGTCCTACCACAATTTTTGCGTGGTCCTACCACAGTTAATAATGTTTAATACTGACGTTGCGATGACGAACGGCGGATGATGTTCTCGAGGAAGGTGTTTTGCGGGGCCACGAGCCCCCGGCGGCCGCCCGGCATGCCGTCGCCGCCTCACATGCCGCGCGCCGAGCGCCACCTCACACTGAGCGGGGAGAACGGGAGCCGAGCGCCGAGCGCCGAGCGCCGAGTTTCGACGGCCGAACACTTAGTCTTGATATTTGAACGACGTGTGCGTAGTGCCGAATATTTTAATTTGAGGCGAACGGTAGGGATTTTGAGCCAAACGATTTGTGCCAGTACAACGTCTATGTATGTATCCTCCTGTTTTCGATTTATTGTCTGACGTAGAATTTTCTATCTTCTTTATATTCTAGAACAAATAAATATAAAAAGAATTAGAAGAAAATGTAATTATATTTAAACAAGACTAAGTATAATAAAAATTAAAAAGAAACTACTATGCTATATTTTGAAGAATTACGTTATAAATTACGATACTAACTTAAATTCTAATTTGGCCGACGAATCGATAGTAAACTTGAAAATCTAAACATTTAGATCGTCGCATTTGCCAAAGATTTTGGCATAAATACTACGTAAGAAACGATATTATTGCTCGGGATTATTATTCACGCGATGAAATTGGGTGATGAGCCTTCTTACGCCACCGACCCGCCGACGCGCCACATTCATTTAATCCTGCCGTACATTAAGAGCAATATTTACAAAGTACAATGTTTAAATGATGGGTCCATGTTATCAGGATGCAAAATATGACGACATAAATGGTGTATTTAAGGAACCGGCTATAAAAATATATAGATAGTGGTCTACTATTCACGGGGTCGTAAAAAATGATGCATACATTTCAATTAACAAAAGTTGTCAATGTTTTAAACAACAACAATTTTTATTAGCACTTTTTTCCAGGGTAAGTGGGGTGGAGAAATTCTATTCCAAACTATGTCCCAGGTATCATAAGTAACGTATGAGGCAATAAGACAGTTTTAATTTCATTATTGGACAATTTAAATTGTTCCAAATCGATGAATACTAATTTGTAGGTATAAATTAATAACTTTTTTATTGGTGTGGCTATTTCGAGAGATCTTAAAAAATCAACATGCAAGATTATAAATGAAAAATTAGCTAAACGGAATGTAATGGAATGCGTTGATAAGGTAAGAGTCAGTTAATTATATGGAAATGTTTATCACAAAAAATCGAGAAGTTCAAAAATAGATCAGGAAGTAGTCAGGAGAAAATAGAAGACTGGTTATAAATTTAAACAATTTCAAGTCAGGGCTAATCAGTGTTCTGAGATTCTCGAGAGACGAGAGTTGTGGCAAGCTTTAACATGAAAAGTTATTTAATTTAGACTCTTGTTCCGCCCTAAAATAGGAGTGTTGCACATACTTACTACTTATATTGTGTTAAAGTTTTGCTTACATGAACAGTGTAAATTATTGGTCAAGTGTGAAAAATCCGACAGTCAATGAATGAAGATCGATACTGTTTTAATATTAACTTAAACAAACAATTCTTCACCCATAGAAGACTTGTATAATATCAATATAAATGTCATCCACAATAAATTTGCCTCGATTCCAGTCCTTGTCTAACAATAAAATATAATATCATTGTCAATTTCTTAGTTTCGAATTTCAACAACTTACATATTTTTAGAAATGCTAGCTGGTAAAGCGAAACATGAAATCAAGAAACCTAATCGTACAAAAGCAATTCTGAGAGTTTCATTCTACGATAAGGACGGATGAGTTAAAAATAAAATATCTATAAAAGGTTGGGTTAGTTGGCGTTACTGAAATTGCTACAAGTTCCTGTTCTCATGCAATAGATTTTGCTTGAGACGCGGAACAGTTACCATATTGTGGTACAATAGAAACAAATGAAAACTACGCTACTCACGCGTTAGATCTCGAAATAATCTTTAGTAACCCCTACTACTATCTGTACAAATGAGTTTCGTGTTCGTTCCTCTCGTCTTAACTAAAGTGCGAACATGAAATTTCTATTGTTAATTTATCTAATGATTGTTATATTAGTAAAATAATGTGAATGAAATAAACTAAATTATGTACCGCAGGCTATTAAGCGATATCGCTTACTGGCGCACAAAAATGTAATGGAACTCACGAACTTGTGAGTTATGACGACTTACAGCCAACCACGAACACCTTAACTTTAGCTATTGTAATAATTTCCCGAGTTAATGGTTCTTTTTGCTTTCATTTTCCTAAAAGCATATTCCTGTGACAATTTTAGAAATAACCTAACTATAAAGCCTCTTTACGACAATTCTTAAAACAAATGTTCATTACGGTAAGAGTCAGCGACGTGATTCTGACGTTTTGTTTCAATAATAATATCGTTTTTTTTATTTTCGATTTTATTTATTTATTGATAATTATTAGCACACACATTTTGTTATTAACTAATAATATCTTCTCTTATGGGTGGGTTTTTATAATTACAGGTAGGTAGGTTCTTGAATTAGTTATATTAAATTGGGTGCCTTGGTAGCCTTTGCTGTCTAGAGTTTTGATTAAGATAGTGCAACAAAATTTTGTTTCTTTATATTCTTCCGTTATGTAACGAAAGCGGTGCGCTTAATGATTCCATTTGAAATCATTTCATGCAAATGTCATGTGTTTTACAAAATCTTTTCTATCGATAGAACGATTCTAAAACACACGTGATTGAAATAGTACCTAAATCTTTCGCGATCTAGAAAATAATCTAGCTTTTTGAACTCCTGTTTTCTTATCTCTCTTTTAAATATATAACCTTACATTACTTATAAGCTGGATTGGTTCAATTAGATAGTATCTACATATAACAAGATCGGCTATTCTAGTTTCTGCGTTACTTTGGAAATACACTCTAAAGGAATCGACGATGGCTCCATCCATATTTAGTAAGTACAACTATTTGAGTTTCTGTGTGTAACTTTGGAAATACACTCTAAAGCAATCCACAATGGCTCTTAGTAAATTTTGAGAAAAGAAGAAACTGCATCGAATAAATAATTGAGACAGACAAGGACAGAACGATTGTCTGAAAGAGATGCTTATGTAGCTGGAGGCTACATCAGCGGAGAGAGGAGACGGCTAGCTGGAGTGTGACGCAAGAGTAATTAAAAAAAATTGTGCGCCGAAAATATCTTGGAAGTTCCATATTTAAAAGCTTGCGTTGCTACAAGTAGAGTCGAGTGCTGACTCGACTTTAGAGAGCTCATAATAGAGTTAGTAATTAAAGCTTTTCTTTTTTGCCCGGCTGATAATCAAATTATATGTTCATTAAGCTATATTATATCAAATATCATTTTCAAGTTTCACCTGTGCTAATACTTCACTTAATTAAAAAGCATAACAATAGTTAAGTGCTGTGACCGGAATATTTGTAACTTATAAATTTTGTAGAATAAGATATTTTTTCGTTATTATTACTTCTACTAAAGGTAATTTCACAGTTTTCTAATTTGAGTTTGAAATGCAAGTTTAGTAAAAAATAAATGCAAAGTACAATAATATGAAAATTATGTCATAATAATATTATATGGCATTGGTCTACTGGCACTTACTAAAATGGTCCATCAATTTAAGTTCCAATACCTTCACAGCACCTCTACGTCTGTCGTAGTTCAAGAATATTTTGTTAGCCAATGATTGTATCACTTACACAGTTATTCGTAAAATAATCCTATTATTGTTTTATCAGAGGTACCCAGAAGCTACTACTTGATGTTGCGGACTATTTTAATGGTAACTGACACGCTTGGATAATTTTTAAATTAGACCGAATATCTTTATAAAAGCAGAGAGCGATTGAATATTAAAAAAAAAAACTTAATTACTATTATAAATTAACGAAAAATAATCTTGGATGAAATGTTTGTCTTGAATGTCTTGAATGAAATGTCGAGAAATAATCTTGATGAATTTTCAAAGGGCTAGTGACGTAGCTCACAAGAAACAAATGAAACACGTTTCTTGTTTGTTTCTTCTTATATAAAGTAAAAGCAAATAAATGTTTAATTTTCTTTTAATTTAGTTGTTTCACATTCTTACACAAATCCTCTAGATATGCAATGCCCTGCGGAGACGGCTATACTCATGTCACTCGTCGCTTCAGAAGGTACCAGACATTTTCTTTAGGATCGAGGTATAAATTTCCACTTTGCCGAAACAAACGATTAGTATGTCGTCCATTAAGTTGTGTTGACTTGTCTTGTATCAACTGATTGGTATTAACTGATGTTTTTGCTTTCAGTCCCGAGACTATTAAAGCTTCATCTGAAAATGGGCTAGCCAGAACCCACCGGTTTGGGCCCTCCGCTGTGGGTAGGGCCGCGCATGTGCTCATGCGTGCGTTTAACTTGTGTTGACTTAATTAGAAACAAGAGTCGTCCATGCAGGCTGTGTACTTTTTCCGTCCAATAACATGACAAGTCAAAATACAATCTAAAATGCTACTCTGCATTTTGCAATGTAAGTTTATTTCAGCATACATTTAACGGATTTATAGTTAAAAAATGTTGAATTTATATAACATTTGGCGGGCTATACACACTTACATGCCATGCGATGGTAAAAGCTATACCCATATTCAGCTGACACCCCCGTCAATGGCATATTCAGTTGTTCATTAACATTATGTCTACATTTAGCGAGTTTCCCGCCCGATGTTCGGAGTTTAGAAGTTGCTTAGTCCCGCACCTACGCCTTCATTAATGTTGATTGAATTATGTAAGCGCGCTTTTGTTCTCGAATGCCCTCAAAAGTTTTCTACTTACAAGAAAAATCTCTATTTTGTTATTACTTCCCGTTTAATTTTTGCTTAGAGCCTGTCTGTTGAGACTGCTTCTGCATAATTAAGCTGGTACGATGCGGGAACTATCTAGCCTTAGAAAACCGCAGTAAATTAGACTTACAATTGTTTATGTAGGTAATAGTAGGTCCTTCTCAGGTATTGTTCTTTCTTATGTGACAAAGTGGCAAACGAGCTGGCGGTTTACCTGATGTTAAGTGATAACCGCCACCCACGAACATTTGCAACAGCGGTTGCAGGTGTGTTGCCACTTTTTAATAATGTGGGCCCCGGCTACCTCACTCATCAGACAAAACGCAGAAGTGTAACACTTCTACTTTACGCCGGTCTTCTGTGAGGTCGTGGTACTAACCCGGACGGACCCGCCCATTGGTGCAACCGCGAATACTGTTGCGTGGTCCACCACAGTATGTGGATGTGGAACTCGGTAATTACTAACACCAGTAGAAACAACTAACCAACATCTCTTATAAAACCCGACTGCGTTTCTGTGTAATTTTTTATTTTGATTTACCCAGTGTCACTCTCACAGTAAATACGAATCTAACAACACTTCACAAGCTAAACTCAATCAAGCCGTTCAGGCTGCAGAGCGTGTAAAACAATTATACATACATACATATAAATAAAAACATAACCCTCCATCAGGCGCAGTCGGGTAAAAATGGCAATGTCAAGTATGTACGTGGCAGTCATTCTATTGACTTACTATGACCATTTTTAAGTTTAAATTTCTAAAATCCAAACATGAGCGTGGGGCAGTTGATGACGTTCAACACATGCTGATAGAATATGTTTAACAAGAATAACTTTTTTATCAATAAAATACAAAACCGATTTAAAATTTGTCTTAATATATATTAAGTAACATATAATATATATATTTTCTCTTTGATTTTGAGGTGTTCCCTGATGTATCTCCGGAGTTCTAGGTCCAATGACAATGAAACTAATATGAATCGCTGTACCAACCCAATGCAAATGAACTAAAATCTGTGCTTAAATGACGGACTTCTGGTGTCAGAAACGTAAAAATATACAACCAAATTCCTAACCTCTTTTTTGGAACTTTTGAACGTTTGACACCGAAACATTATGTTTTCCTATCCATTGTCAGGCGCGGCAACGGCCGGTATCAATATTCCATCTACGGATATATTTGGATACTGGAAATAGAATGTTGACGTAAGTATTATGGAGATAATGTCAAATACCTAACGTTACTCTCACGCCCAGTTTCTGCAACACACATGGTTAAACTATTTGAATTGATTATTCTGATCATTAAGAAGATCATTCTGATCATTTCAGAGAGTTTAACCATCCTTTTGGCAACTTAAATAGCATTTGTAAAGCCATTTGACAGCTGATTAGTTAACTCCTATGATGATCAGTGTTTCAGAAACCGGGCGTAAGTTGTTTAGTTTTAACGTATATAAAATTGTCAAATGTTTACAGTTTATAGTCTTTTTTAGTAATATAAAATAACCTAATAAATAAGTGACATTGAAATACAAATAGCTGCGAACAATTTCAAACGTTGTGTAAAAGGTACCCTAATCGCCCTTCCATTAGGGTAAAAATGAAAATGAAAATGAAAATATGTTTATTGACAAACAGAATTACACTTAAGTACATTGTGCGTTGGCACCACACTAGGCAAAGCCTGTCCTGTGGTTGCCGTCTAATTGCGATTTCCATCTATTTTACAAATTTGCCAGTCGAAAGATCGCTTCACTACTAAAATACTAAAACTTTAATAAATATTACTAAAACTTTAAATTTTAGCAAAATTTTATATTAATTTAATATGAGCAAAAATAAGAAGAAGTAAATAAATAGAGGTTGCTTAAAACAATTATATATATACATATATACATACATAAACATACATACATATATGTATATAAACACAAACACATATATATATATAAACATAAATAAGGGCATATATGTGATTATATATAAATGCAAAAAAAAAATCATCAAAGTATATGGTCAAGTACTTTTTCAGTTGAATCATACGTTAAAGAAGCAAGCCACTTAGAAGTCCCATCCTTTCGCATCCTTTACTGAACTACGCTTTATGTCGCAGGAGCAGAGTACCTTGTTATACACAAAGTGGTCTTTAAAAGAGCTAAACCGTTTAGCAAAATTCGTTCTGATCTTCGTTTGGAAGAGGGAGTCTAAAATTCGTTTGGAAGAGGGAGTCTAAAATTGCGTTGGTTAAGTAATCCGTGATATCTACTGCAATTGACAACGGTATGATGAACCTTAACAATGGTTTTCAGAATAAATAATTGTCGAACACTCAAAACTTCGCTTTCTTTATAGGTATTAGCTGTCGGATATCTGAAAGGCCTGTTAAGCATCGTTTTTAATACGGACCTTTGTGCTCTTTCTACAGGTAACATTGAGGTTTTTGATGCACATCCCCAGCAAGTTATGCAATACGTTATGATTGATTGACAAAGTGCGAAATAAACTGATCTTAACGTGGATACTTGAGCTGATGGGTGAAGTAATTTTATTATATTGGCTGTTTTACGAACTCTATTTGAGAGTAAATTTATATGTGCCTTAAAATTCAAGTTATGATCAATAATAACGCCTAAATATTTTATATTTTCCGCTCTTTGTATGTGATCACAGTCACAGCTTTCTTGGTTTCCACAGTCGTGTTTTGTGATGTTTGATATAATATTTGGAACAGTCGCTGCAGTTTTGTGAAAGCATACGTATTTAGTTTTCTTAATATTCAGTGTAAGTAAATTTTTTTGCAGCCACGTATGCACTACCTTCATTCCTGAGTTTGCATTCTCAAACGCTTCACGCCAGGAAGAGCCATCGAACACTATTACAGTATCATCTGCGTAACATATGGTTTCTGCTTTGGTTATGTCAAGTATGCAGTTCATATACATTATGAAGAGTGTTGGGCCTAAGATGCTACCCTGTGGAACTCCAAAACTAATCCTCTTTTCAACACTGCGATAATCCGAGATTTTAACAAATTGTTTTCTATTACTCAAGTAACTTTTGAACCATTCAAGAGATGTCCCTCTTATACCAAACTGGTCTTGCAACTTTCTGAGTAGGATAGGGATAGAAACAGTGTCTAAAGCTTTCTTCAAATCTAGGAAGATGCCTATTGCTGCCTTTTATTATCGAGATGTGACGCCAAGATTGTGGTTAGCAGGGAGATAGCATCTTCTGTTGATTTGCCTTTTCTGAAGCCAAACTGTCTAGGAGAAATCATCTGTTTAGTCTCTAAATATCTAACAAGTCTTTTATTGACAATTTTCTCCAATATTTTTGAGAAGGTGGTAAGTAAAGAAATTGGACGATAATTTTCTACGACATTTAGCCTACAGGTAGCCTATAATATATATGTAGCTTATAATATATAATGTAGAAGAATACATTGCGGACAAGGATGTATGGATGACTCTTGCAAGTCCCCTTACTGCTGTTGATTCTATATCTAACAAATTTTGTATATATCATTGAAAAAAAGTATAATATGAGTGCAGAGTTTCTTGACGATTCTTCTCTGGACAGGTTTAATTTAGTGAACCAGTGGTTTGACGTTCTATAAGAGCTTAAAACAAGTCTATATTGAATAAAGACATTTTGACTTTGTCTTCGACTTTGACCTCATTCTGAATTTAACGCATTAACAAATCTGTGCAAATCTGTCTGACCTCTCACTTGGACTGTATGAAATGTTAGCCACCGTTCACTGAATAACTCGACCACAACTAACGATCGGACTTTAGCAGAGCAGATTGTATTTTATTGTCTCCACAGCCCTTCTGTGGAGTTAACGTCGTGAATGATTTTTTAACGTCTTTTTAAATATATATTGTACCCCCGTGTTACTTTTTGTATGTGATTTGGCACAGTTCCAAATAATCCAAGTGTATCAGTTATTATTAAAGTAGTTCGCAACAGCAAGTAGTCTTTTGGGTACATCGGATAAAATATTACGAGTACATTGCGAATGTCTATGTAAGTGATACAATCATTGACTGTTGCTAATAAAACGATCTTTGCGACAGACAGAGAGGCGCTGTAAAGGCCAAGCTTATTAGTGCTTAAATTAATCAACCATTTTAGTAAGTGCGTGTTCTAGAAATCGAAGTTGCAATAAAGAAAAAAATATAGAGAAGTGAGATCTAGATGGCATTGTCAATTGTTCATTCTTTACGAGGAGAAAAGGAATGAGAACAAAATATTAGAGTCATTATTGTAACAGTTTATAATGTAGCATTGTTTAACATTTATTTAAAACGCAGCCTTCGTTTTCTTAACCCACACTCGCGTCATTATTTCACGTGATGCCTAGTTCGCACACGAGAAATAATCAGAAATGAAATCATATGGTTTCTTAAGATTCCAAGCGTACATTGCGCATATTTCGCAGTGAAACTTCGACTTTTGTACGTGTAACACTGAGGAAATTTACATTTACAGCTATAAGGTGATAAATTGTAATGATATAACATAGAAATTTTATATTACATGAGGTACAGGATTTATTTTGCAAATTCTTACCAGCGCTTGATTAAGAATAATACAAAAAGGTTTCTGTTGCTTAAGGAAACACACATCTGAGGTACATTTCGCAGTACAGAACTATACAAATCTTAAAAATTACAGGATATTTATAGAAAATTTGATACTTTGAAATAAATTATGAGGGAAGTCGAATGTATCATTTTCAAAAGGATAGATAATATAGTAGATACAAATTTTAACTTTGACTTCGATTTTGATACCGGAAAAATCATATTTGGAACCTTATATATTTTCTGTTAAGAATTATAAATTACTGTAAAAGATCATTAGTCATGATCTTCCAACATAGTCAACAATAGCGTCTTTGGGTCTTTGGGTGGTCAACATAGTCTTTGGGTAATTGGTTCATCGTACTATAAAAGGATACGGCATAAAATATGATAAAACCTTGGGCAGTAAAAAGAATATTTGATGGCCACGAGAAATAGGCCATATAGAAAATTTTGAGATTGCATTTCAAGCGCCATCGTTTTGTAGTCGTTTGCGTAGCAAATAAATCATTTTAAGGCATTACCTAAACGACAGTTATTTGTGTTACCTGCAGAGATGCCATAACGTTATAATCAACAGAGGTGAAATAGAATACCTATAGGCAATATGAAATACATTTTAACTGCTTGCAAGTTCGGTGTGAATAACGAATAGCGTTTCACGGTTTTCTCATGACATTAATTAGTACTCATTTGGTAATAAAAAAGGCCTCTACCCATATGTGCAACGGTAAAGATATAACGATTGTTCTTGTACAGTGCACTTGACTACACGTGGCATCTAACCACCTACGTTCGAGAACACTTAGTATCGTCACATCCAGTATACACTGATATCGAGGAGCGCAACTAAGTGATATAATTACGACCTTACGCTACCACAATTAAAGGTCAAACTGGCCGATAGTCTGTGCGCCTTGGTGACAGCAACGGTTCTTGAAGCCATCACCTAGCGGTGGTGTTACGCAAGCCAGTTTGTTTGTTGTCGGGGCATAATCATCACATTAAGGTCACTCGCGGTTTGCGGGCATCGATTTCCGCGGCGGCGCTCGCCGAAAGGGCGCTCCGTCGGCGGGCCCGTGCCCGATCGATAGCGCGGGCTGCAGCGAGCCTGCAGGATGCAGTCACGCCGTCTTATGTAAGGCACTCACTCGCTGGACTGGCCGTAGGGTCGGCAGGGGGTCCGCTGGGCGCTAATTGGCGCGTGGCGCGATGACGGGCGGGCGGCGGGTGCGCGCTTGTGGCTGCGACACGCGTGGCGCGGCGGCCGCGCGCCTGCAAGCCTCAGCGGACATGTTCACAGCGCGGTTCCGCTCTGCCGCCCCGCTCCGCCAGACGACGCGGCGCCGCGCCTATCGTTGGGCGCCTGCGCGGTCTAAGGCCGCTCGCACACGCGGCTCTACCGTCCCGCCTGACAGTATTATTTTCTTTTACATTGATTTTACTATAGAAATTTAAATTGTTTATAGTGCTAATGTTTGCACTTAAGATTGAACATTAAAATATGTAGAAAAAGTGCGAAAAGATTGTCGCCGCTGTGGGAATCGAACTCACGTCTTCGGCATTCGCGGCCTGACGCTCTAGCCACTGAGCTAAACGGCTGATTACCACACCGACGAAAATCTTAACGCATTCTTCTACATTGTTTTCTTAGCATTTGAAGCAATGCTTGGCGCCATCTATTGTTATATCCTTTCCAGCATACAAACAACTTCGAATATCGTTTTACAACGATAATTCGAACGAGAGATGTCGCCATTGCTTTTTTAGAAATTTAAATTGTTTATAGTGATAATCTTTGCACTTAAGATTGAACATTAAAATATGTAGAAAAAGTGCGAAAAGATTGTCGCCGCTGTGGGAATCGAACCCACGTTTTCGGCATTCGCGGCCTGACGCTCTAGCTACTGAGCTAAACGGCTGATTACCACACCGATGAAAATCTTAACGCATTCTTCTACATTGTTTTCTTAGCATTTGAAGCAATGCTTGGCGCCATCTATTGTTATATCCTTTCCAGCATACAAACAACTTCGAATATCGTTTTACAACGATAATTCGAACGAGAGATGTCGCCATTGCTTTTTTAGAAATTTAAATTGTTTATAGTGATAATCTTTGCACTTAAGATTGAACATTAAAATATGTAGAAAAAGTGCGAAAAGATTGTCGCCGCTGTGGGAATCGAACCCACGTCTTCGGCATTCGCGGCCTTTACTATGTTACTGCATGGCAATTCAATTGCTAGAGCTAAATTTGCATGTTGTTAAACAGCTGAACAGGTTAAAGCGACAGACATGTACCTAAAGATCATTGTAACCCTATTTATGGCATATAAATATTTGAATTTGAATTTGACATGACGTGTCAGACAGCCAGATTTTGGACGTATACCAGATGACAGCTTCTTTGCACACTTCTTATTAAGTACCCCTCTCGCCTGACGTGCCGGACAACCGGATTTTTGACGTCTATCAGATGACAGCTTTTTTGCGCACTTATTACTTATTATAAGTAACCCGACTTTGAACGTCTAGTAAATAATAGCTTCAATGCCTTTTTCATACTAAGTTAGCCCAGGATAACATACAAGTTATCTTTATAACCGTTAATTAGCGATGAAAAAAGAATAGGTTTTATGAGGCCGTTAAAGTTTTTTTGATTTACTTACACTCAATTACTGTTAATTTAGTTTATTATGCCTGTTATGGATAAAAAACTTCCTTCCTACCGGTTATCCTACGACACCAGTATCAGTATTACTTCGTCTCCAGGGAGAGTTAAATGATGATTAAGCTATGATATTATTTTTCCCATGCATCAAACCAAAATTACAAAACATATCAAAAAATTAAAATCATTTACATTTGAAACTTACTTCTTGGAAGTAAAGATTTCTATTATAATGGTTTATGTTTCGTATGTAGTTCTTTGTAAATATAATAAGGTGTAGAGCGTTTCAACACCATTTGCAGGTCTAAAACGCAAGTGTGTAACAAGCCTTAGTTACCCCACCCCCACATAAGTAGGGCCAATGGAGCAGCCCGCGTGACTTTACACGTTACGTTATTCTGTTATTTTATTTATCCTGCCTTTGTATTTTTTCTTACTCAATATTTTGTGATATTGTAATGTGTTGCTTTAAGGCCCAGTGTTTTATAACAGCGAAGCGTTGAAAATAATGGCCCTAAGAGGAGAGTACTCGTTAAATAAGTAAGGTTTATTAGCAGCAATAATTTTGAAATGTTTCTACAGACAAAGTAACGATTTCGATTTTTTTTTACTACAAGCAATATAAGATGTTTAAGCTATCGTTTATGAAAAGATTATTGACGTTATCCATGATCCTTGGCCAAACATAGAAACGACGTTATCGAAAAGTTTAAATAAGACGAGTCATTTAAGACAAATGTTGAGTGTTTGGAGAGCCATGAACACTTTTTTTTATCAATCAATGCAAATAATGACATTTAAACTATACGCAAAAATAACGGGACACAGAAAAATAGCGATAAATGTAACAAAATGGACAAATGAAAACACAGTGACTTGAGTAGATCGCTCTTAAAACTAGTATGTTGTAAGAATAGTAATGCTTATTGTAAATCTGAAAAGATGGTTCATTTTTGCAAGTTACAGTATAAAAAATTTCAATGAATGTAACAGAATAACAGAATTTGAAATTCCAAGAATATTTTTTTTTTGCTTTTGCTTTAAACCGAGCTATCAATATAAACAATTGAACCAGTAGTGGAAGCATATTTGTAACATAGGCCAAAATCGTGTCAAAAATTTTGTTTAGAGCATGCCACATAGTCTTAGTGAAGTTACACGGACTCGTAGAAAAAGGAAATAATAAACTATACAAACTACAAAAAAACATTATTATTTTGTTATAAACTACGATAATAATTTTCTGTTCACAACTTACAACTATTATCTTTAAGTTTTTGTATTTTTTAATTAAAACTAAATAATGTGCCAAGCGATTATTTATTGAAGTGAAATTGATTTAGAACCTCGATGAACGAAAATGCGTCACGACTAAGAGACATACATAAATAAAGATTAAGCCGGCGAGAGAATTAAATGGAATACATTAAGCAGTATTTTATATTCTAGGTCAACTCTTTGTGCCATGCTTCGTAGCTTCCCACTCTCGACTACTAAGCATTGTAGATACATATGTGTGCGCTTGTATATTAGGGATGCGAAAAAATATCGATATATCGATATTTTTGATTTTAAATATCGCGTCCGATATATCGATATAAAATATTCATATCGAAATCACATCAAAAACTATATTTTTTGAAATTCGAACCGGGCAATCCGTCCGTAAATGTCAAATATTTAATACTTAACATACCGTTTTTTTGGACGTTTCTTAAACAGAAAATATCGATATATCGATGTTTTCTCTTCGATATATCGAGGCCAATATTGATATATTTGTAAAAGTCTATATATCCTTCCCAATCAAGTACTGTATATTTTCAAGCTAAGTTGTTTTTATGTAAGACGATGGTAAACAAGCTGGCGGTTCACCTCATGTTAAGTGATAACCACCGTCTATGGACATTTGCAACATTCAGGCCACACTTAGGATGGCAGACTTACATCCTATTACTAAGACTCCGCTGTCTGTATGTCACCAGGCTGTATCTCGTGAACCGTGATGATTTTGGTTGCCGATATAACAACAAATACTAGTAAACAGAATAAAAACTATTTAAGTGGGATCCCACAACTGACATGATTTTTTTGCCGTCTTTATAGATATTGGTACAGAACCTTTCGTGCGCAACTGCGACTCGCACTTGGCCGGGTTTTTTTTACGTGAGAAGGTGGCAAGCCAGCTGGCGGTTCAGCTTATGTTAAGTGATAACCACCGCCCATAGACATTTGCAACACCCGTAATTGCAGATGCGTTGTCACTTATTAATAAAATGGGCCTCGGCTACCGCAACATCCCAGTCTTCTATGAGTTCGTTGTATTTACCCGGGCGGACTTGCCCATTATTGCAACAGCCAAAGCTGTTGCATGGCCCTACCACAGTTAATTTGGACAGTTAAGTATAAAGATTAAAGAAGTTATTGTCACCCTTACAAAGTAATTGTTTTGTTTTGAACGATGACAGAATTGCTCCCAACCTACGTAGACTATACCATAGTTTTAGTTTTGTACGGGACTCTGGCCATATCTCGTTCTCTTCAGGAAACTTTCGAAAAGAATCCATAAACACAAATAGGGAAAGTCCTTGCATTGCGGTACCACGATTCCACAGAAATGTCAAACGTCAATACGAAATGTCAATGAACCTTTCGTTCCAAAATGCACCGAGTACTTCATGAGCCAGTAAAAGGCAATATAAATAGTTTAATGACATCGCAACACTTCTTTCTTAAGACTAGCATAGATTAGATCTTCCTCGGAAGTTTAGTGTTTGTTCCAAGTATTGTGCGTTTACAAACTTGATAATTACCTATTATACGATAAGATCTTATGACCACAGAGTCAGTTTGTGTTAATTTTTGTGTACCTATAGATTACTTTTATACTTTTTTTGGTCGGTTTCGGTTTTAAGCGTTTTGCTGATCAATTTTTGTGTTTCACTATTTATAACAATAAATTTTATGTTTAAGTTTATTCGGTGCTTTTAGTCATTTCCAAGTGCGCGACGATAATTTTGTAACAGCAGCCTGCTTCGATTAAATTATTTTAGGGATTCTATGATACAAAAATAAACAGCATTAATGTTTATTTTTGTTTGCTTAGCCGTTTTTCTAGTGAATAAATAGTTTCATAAAAATGAAGAGCTGGTTTGCTTAAATACAATAATAGATAAAATGAAACAGTAAATCAATTAACCTCAAAGTATTTATTTCAATAGTTTCTCTTAAACATACTCGGGTTACCCCGTCGTATATAAACCACTGAGATGCTACGGCGTAGCCCAATTCGAAGTCGCTACGTCTTAAACGTCGTAGCATAATAATATTGTGTTTGGGCTACGAGGTGGGCGTCCTAGGAACGTGGCGCGCGTGCACGCCTCGTAGCGGGGGCCGTGCCGTAGCACGTAGCGAGGGGCGGGGCATGCCGCGGCGCGCTACGATCACACGCGTGAACTTGCCGCGCCGCGCACCGCTACGCACGGTCAGCGAACCGTCAGCTGTACTTGCGTCTGAAAATGTTGATTAATTTCATTTCAGGTCAATGTAACGGTAGATAAATTCGCCTTTTATGAGTCGCTCACTTTAGAGCAGCGTGGTTTATAAAGTTTAGTCGGTGGTGAATAGCGCCATTAATTAAAGTACATAATAAAGCGCATAGGAAATAATAGGTGAGCGAATCCAGCTGCAAGGACACGCGACAAGTAAACAAAAAAATATTTTGAAGGTATTTGAAGTCTGCAGTGGGATCGCGTGGTTAACTATGCCCTAATAGCCTCTTTACAGACAAGGCCTTTGCTCAAAAGCCCTTAATATAGGCAAGAAAAGTAAGAAATTTATTTTTCGGTAGACTACGCCGTGGTTCGTCAATCTGTGGGGCAGGCCCATATTCAGCAGTGGACTGAAGCAGGCTGGAATGATGATTATGATGTAGCCACCGTATATTAGGTACAGGAGGGGGCCTTTGCCTGGATGTAGGACATAGTGTAAGGCAGTCCTTGCCCAGACGCGGGACAGTACGTGACATAGAGGGAGAGGCGTTTTCCGAGGAGGGGGACCGTACTCGATATAGAGGGAGAAGCGTTTACCCAGGCAGGGGACAGTACGCGACATAGAGGGAGAAGCGTTTACCCAGGCGAGGGACAGTACTCGACATAGAGGGAGAGGCGTTTGCCCAGGCGGGGGACAATACTCAGCATAGAGGGAGAGGAATTTGCCCTGGCAGGGGACAGTACTCCACATCGAGGGAGAGGCATTTGCCCAGGCGGGGAACAGTACTCGAAATAGAGGGAGTGGCGTTTGCTCAGGTGGGGGACAGTATTCTACATAGAGGGAACGGCGTTTCTCTAGGCGGGGGACAGTACTCTACATAGAGAGAGATGTTTGCCCAGGCGGGGGCAGTACTCGACATAGAGGGAGAGACGTTTGCCCAGGCGGGGGACTGTACTCAACATAGAGGAAGAGCCGTTTGCCCAGGCGGGGGACCTTACTCGACATAGAGGGCGCCGGGGCGGCGTGGGCCGAGCTGAGGGGCGCGAGGGCGGGCGGGTCGTCGTCGGCGAACACGATGGGCAGCTGCAGGATGGCGGCCGCGTCCAGCTGCTCGGCGCGGCGAGGAGCGCTCAGCGGCAGCGGCGTGCCGCCACTCACGCGGGTCACCACGCGCGTCCTGGACACACACATACACGTAAATTCAAAATAACAATTTAAAACTAAAAACAGGAATAAAATAATATATGATAATTAGGACCTTCGGTGGTGTTGAAACAGTGGTGTTGACGATAAAATTGGAAAAATATAGCAAACAATATTCCGCCCAGCGTGTAAGATTCACGGATCGATTTGGTTGTAAAAATATTTGTAATACAACTGTACTATCATGCTACCGTAACTTGATGAGTGTCAGTACGGCAACGCCGTAAGAGTGAGAATTCATCATACCGGAGACTTTTTTGTACTAATTTAACGAAAATCAGTGCTATCTTCGAAGCTATGAGTTATATGACCCATGTTCCATGCATTATAGTATAATGGCATACTCTTAAAGTTATGTGAATTCAATATAAATGCGAAAAATGAAACAAAGTTTTCAAAACGTTACCAAACCAAGGTAAACTTTTACGATGAGTACATGGTAACTGGTAAACATAAAAGTAAAGTAAAGTAACAGCCTATACATGTCCCACTGCTGGGCAAAGGCCTCCTCTATAGAGAGGGTATCAGGGCATAGTCCACCACGCGGCCCCACTGCGGGTTGACGGACTTCACATATCTTCGAAATATATATATATATATATATATATTTTTTTTTTTTTTAAACATACTTCAACATAAATTTCTTTCGTAGATAATACCTTATGGTATACATAGAATAGACCAGACCATAAAAAATAATATGTTCATCACACAATATCTTTGACAAAGAACTAAAAAAAATCCTTCAACCGTTTACAATAACCAAATTAGATTTAGAGAAGGTAATTCAGGTAAGACAAAAAAGTATATTGCCACCCACCAAATATGGTAGATAAAGTGTTCTCATGAATATTAATATAAATAAAATATTAATATAAATATAATATGAATATTAATATAATATATATAATTATATATTATCCCGAAATCTTTGACTATCTCATTGATGTATAAATGCCTTCATCCCGTGTTTAAAAGTGATTCATGTGCATCTCCATTTGCTCTATTCTTTATGTCTCATTAGCAAAAATTCTATTCGCAACGGTTGTCTGGAAGAAATCGCTTTCTGAGCGATAAGACCGCCTTGGTGTACAATAAAGTATAAATAAATATAGTATATTCAAGATATTAATTGGTTTGTGAGATAACTTGGACAATTCTGCAATATTGCATTTGATTTTTATTTGTGTTCAAATATAAGTTATTTGCCGCCAGCTACTATGGCGAATTTTATAGGGTTCTTCTAACATTTGGCCCTTATCTTTGTCTATCTACATTAAAGAACAAATGTGTCATAAAACTTTTGAGATCTATTATCTACTATTTTAAATACAGAAATGAACTTATTTGAATCAAACCTTGCTCGCTATCAGTAAAACATAAAGGTACAAAGTCAAATGCAGTATCTCATAAGATTACAGCTTATGAGATGAGCTTATGATCCACTAGGGGCAATGCTTTTTAAAAACAAATAAATTAAATAGCAACAATTACCTAGATACTATTAAACAGTGAACAAATTAAATTACAAAAAATGTACTACATGTGTATGAAAAAACCTCCTAATTGTCTTAAGATGTCATTCTAATGATCAGTACAAATTAAAAATAGGGATGTATGGATGTGGATGAGGCAAATTAGGGATGGCAACATAATGGAATCCTAGACCCTGCCTACGGTCTCTGAGAATAATCTTGATTGTTGTCCAAATTGGTTTCATTAATTGACTCACCCAGCGGGACGGGATGTGGTCATTGAGAGGTGCGCGTACTCATCTTCCTCTGTCTCCGTTTCTGAAAGAGAAGAGAATGTATGTGAAAACTCGCCGTATTACGATTAGTGATCACGGTTGCCCGCGTCAATTTTCAGATTGGCAGTGTATGACGGCTACCATCTTTGTTGAGTACTGGACGGAATATAACGAGCCTTCCCATTCGTGCAAAATCAGGACCTGCCACAGAATTGTATTATTTTGTGTGGAAGGTGTTGGGTACTAAGTCCCAATAGCTATTGCGACCTAGAAGATCTATTTACTTAAAAATCTTTATGCACAAGAGAGTACAATGGCGGACTTAACACCATTAGGTCTTCTCTACCAGTCAACTGACAAATAAATAGACAAAATAAGGATCATATTTTAGTATTATAGTACTATTGTAGTCTTCCCATCGGAAATGTTGCCCCGTACTGTCGAATAAAATTATCCTTTATTTTAAGGATGTTTAACAGACACAAATTTCACGTTGGCAAACATCCAGATCCGAAACAATTATCTGCGGGCCACACAAACAGTTGCGACGTACGGGATTCGAACCCACGACCCCCCCAGCGCCGAAGCCGATACCTTAGCAACTGAGCCACCTTACCGCTGCCACAGTAAGAACAGACCTTGTGAAGAGCCGAGGCCTTTGGCCAGCTCAGTATTGGCTGAGCGCTCGTGTTTCCCTCGAGCCACTTCCCGGACCCAACGCGCGCATTCGTCCTAGGAAAAGAAGGTTTCATTACTAATAATTTACTCTCTGCTCTAAATGCAGGTGATATAAGGTGACGATCGAGCTTGCGGTTCAAGCGATGCTAAGTGATATCCCCCGCCCATTGATATTTGCAACACCCGTAGGGTTGCAGATGCGTTGCCACTTTATAACAAAGTGGGCCCCGGCTACCTCACTCATCAGACGGAACGTAGAAGTATAACACTTCCACTGCGCACTGGCCTTTTGTGAGGTTGTACCACGAAATGAAAAAAAAAAAAAAAAAAAAAAAGAGTCGTGTAACATTGTTTGCATTGACAGTCAAATGATATTAAGAACTAAATTTATAGAAAGACAATTGTAGATAATAACTGGCGTTATTATAGAAATAGACAACTGCGACTTTTCTCAATTGTCCAATAATGTATCAAGCTCATTGCTTCAGCGTGGCGCACGAGTGCAGCGTCTCGCACTTCACACTTGCGTTCGCAGCGGAGACACGTGCGGGGTCACTGACCGCGGACGGCGGGGTCGCTGGTTGCTGGCGGTGTGATCATTGACCGCCGACGTCGTGATCACTGACCACGGCGACGTCACGCGCCGCGGACGTTGTGTCACTGAACGCGGACGTTGGGTCACTGACCGCGCACGGCGGGGTCACTGACCGCGATCGCGGCGTCGAGCGCGTGCTGCGGCAGCCGCAGGCGGCGTCGCAGCGCGGAGGGCAGCCGCAGCGCGTCGTCGGCGCCCCCGATGACGAGCAGCCGCCGCGGCGGGCGGGACGCTAGCGCCGCTGCGGCGCCCCTCCCGCACGCCGCCCCGCCCCCGCCCGCCACCACCAGCATCGGCAGCCGCAGCTGTGGACGTCGCAATGTGTACACACTTATAAAATCATAAATAAACCGCGAAAAAACACTTAAAGAAAAAAAAATATTCATTAGTATAAAACCGCTCCCAGATTCTAGTAAGACGTTCTACAGATTTTTCAAAGTATTTTTTGATGATGGTACCAATATCATGATCATCCCTATGTGTTAAAGTAAGAAGTTTGAGAAATAATTCACAATAAGACTTATTTGTATATCGGATCAAAATAAATCAAAAATTAGACAGTAGCGAGGGATTACTATTGCAGCAGATTCGGACTAAGGGCTTTTATTATGTTGAAATCATCATAAAATAAAAATCAAATTTCCTTTGTGTGGATAAGCAATAACTTTAAACTTTAACTGCAAAGTAACAATATACATTTGAATATAAGATTTACAGTTATCAAATTAAGAGAAACATTTGGATTACAGCACTAGACAAAGCAAGATGTAACTTGTGGTCCTCGCACTAGGCCTGGCCTGTATCGTGAGAATGTTTACATATTCGATTTACGGCAGTGCGTGGTGAAAGCAAAAAAAAAACAAAAAGTATGATTTAAAAACTAATAAAAACAAAAAAATAATAATGAAAACTAAAAAAATAAAAACTAACAAGAACATTAAACAGATATTTCAAAGCATGGTGCCTTACTGTGCGTGCGCGCGCACGCACAGTATTTTTAGATCAAGTTTTGCTGCAATTTTGTTGTAAACAAAGGGAGCTAAGAAGTATGAAAAATGTGAGTTAACTCTGGGCGTCTAAATATATGCCTTTCAGACAATTTTTTGTAGTCGTAGGAACTAAGCGTCTTCTTGTGTTACATTAGGACTGTTTTGTACATGAATAATTGTCGTACGTTCATGACCTGAAAATCAGAGTATAGTGCGTAACGAAGACGTTCGGGGGAATTCCCGGGCGAGGGGTACCTCGTGCAGCACGTCGTCTGGCTCGTCGCGCGCGCCCTCCGCGGTGAGGAGTGGCGGCGCCAGTAGGAGGAGGGCGCGCGGCTTCGGCCCCTGCGCCCCCCCTCCACCGCCGCCGCCCCCTCCCCCGCTGCCGCCGCCCCCTCCCGCCGCCAAAGCCGCGCACAGCGCCGCCCCCGCCCCCACGCCGCCCAGCACCACGAACCTCGACCTTTAGTCATATTATATTACGTTAAGTTATATTCTTCAAGCGCTTCACGGGCGGATTCTCAACGTGTAAGAGATGAAGGTGAAACGTATTGGCTTCGTATCGATTCCCACACGGGACAAATATTTGTGTGGCGCACAGATAGTTGTTTCGCGTCTGGGTGTTTGTCCGCGTGAAATTTATGTTTGTAAAACGTCCTTACAACACAGGATAATGTTATCCTAAAGTAAGGGCAATGTTTTAAAAAAAATAAAAAATAAATAAATAAAAAAAAAGATTATTTTGAAATCCATGGGACATTAGGTCGGAACGGCATAGTAGTTATTTATTAACGGGTGTAATGAAATGAATCTGTAGTGTTTGAGGGTGAATAGATAAAAATTATATATGAATGAAATTATATTTTATTTGTGTGATTGCGATAACGCTCTGCGAAACCGAGATTGGCCGATGATGATGAAAATTTATAAGTTCGCGTCCCCGACATGTGTCACATGTTTGTTTCATTGGCGATGTTAACATTTTGTTCCAATTTTATTTAAATAAAAAAAAAGGAAAAAAACATATTTGCATAGGAACTTTTTTGTTCAAAAACCCAATACATCATCATCCATCTGCGGTTATCTCATCAAAAAGTCCCGTTTGGGAATTGAACCCACGAACCTTTACTATTTAAAATTAAATTGTATACTACACTGTTATATGTTACAGAATATAAATATGCTGTCAGACGAATGGACAGGTCCGGCCTGGTAAGTACCACGACCTCACAGAAGACCGGCGTGAAGTAGAAGATATATATTTCTGCATTTCGTCTGGTGAGTGAGGTAGTCGGGGCCCACTCAATTAAAAGGTGGCAGCGCATCTGCAACCCTACAAATGGGTGTTGCAAATGTCCACGGGCGGCGGTTATCACTTAACATCTAGCGAACCGCCTGCTCGCTTGACAATCTTTCACATAAAAAAAGTCACAGAGTATACACACATTATAGAGAATGTCATGTTTTTACTTTCAGTCCCGAGACTATTAAAGCTTCATCTGACACAGAACCGGTGGGCTAGCCAGAACCCACGGGTTTGGGCCGTCCGCTGTGGGTAGGGCACGCATGTGCTCATGCGTGCGTTCAACTACGGCCTGTCATCTAAGGGCTATCGAGGTCGCGGTTCGGACGGGGAACCCGATGGCTGTCGACTGCGTTTTTAGCTAATCTGACTTAGCTAATCTGTTTTTAGTTAAAATGAAAATAAGCAGATGCGGCACACTCACCCGGCGCTGCAACCCTACGGGTGCTGAAAATGCCCATGGGCGGCGGTCATCACTTAACAAGCAGTGAACAGTGACGTTGACAAACTTTCACATAAAAAAGACACAGAGTACACACACACATTATAGAGTACACACACATTATAGAGTACACACACATTATAGAGTACACACACATTATAGAGTACACACACACATATAGAGTACACACACATTATAGAGTACACACACATTATAGAGTACACACACCATAGAGTACGCGCTATAGGCAGATGCGGCACACTCACCCGGCGTCGGCGAGCGCGTCCGCCAGCCGCGTGCGCGCGGTGGCCGCAGCTGAGGCGCACCAGCGGTCCGGCGCCGCGCGCCCCAGCCCCGGCGGCTCGGCGCTCAAGCTGCGCGTCGGAACTAGAGCGCGCAGCCGCCGCAGCCAGCGCTCGTCCGCCGCCCCGCCCGCCCCCACCCACACCAGCAGCGCGTCGCCCCGCGCCGCCGCCGGATCTACACACAACGCGCGTCACACAGCCGTTGTCTGCGCTACAGGCAGCTCAAATCCATACTAATGTTATAAGTGAAGCCTACACCCGAAGCCATTGGCCGTTAAGTGTTACGTAATCCATACATCCATACTAATATTATAAATGCGAAAGTAACTCTGTCTGTCTGTCCCGCTTTCACGCCAAAAGTATTGAACCGATTTAAATGAAATGGTACACAGATAGTCTAGAGCCTGAGAAAGGACATGCTATTTTTTAATGAGCATTTTTTTAAAGAAAGATATTTATTTAAGGGCTTCAACGCGAGCGAAGCTGCGGGCGAAAAGCTAGTTATAAATAGATGTGAATTTATTAAGATGTATAAAATCATAGATAAACCATAGACTGGTCTTTCTACTTCCAACACTCGTGTTGGAAGTCAACCGTTAGATTTAAATTGTATTCGCTTATGATTGGTAAATGAATTGCGTTCAAAACTGTGAATTCGTACTGACTTCTAACGCAATCGAATGAAAACCTAAATATTTTCACTGAAATATTAATTTATAAGCCTTTAGGAGCGTTGTATTTTTTTTTCCTTGTTCTATCCTGAACAGCCGTTAAATGTTACGTAACTGAAATTTTTATTATTTGAAAGTATAATAAAGAGAACGCAACCTCACCGCTTCTACGAAAACTATTTCTCCTCGAATTACAACGGAAAAGTTATCTGAGAAGTATAAAAAAAATCAAAAAGATATAATTTAAGAGAGTAAGAATGTGAAACTTTCTGCGTTTTATTAAGTAAATTATAGCTAAGAAACATGTCGATGAAGTCCGCTTTTAAAAAACGGCTTTAACAAAAAAAAAACCGCACCATAATCAGTCCATCCGACTAAAAGTCGCGATGCCAAGGACAGACACGTCAAACTTATCAAACCCCACTTTTATGTCGGGAGTTAAAAAGGAAACAAGCACTAGAGGCCCTTATCGTCCGATGCCGCAGACAGACTTTAAAACGTTAAACTTATAACATTTCTTTTTACGTGGGGAGTTAAAAAGTAATCCACTGGAGGCCCTCACCGGCGTCGGGCGGCTCCAGCGGGTCGGGCGGCACCGGCGGCAGGTGCGGCGTGAAGCGCTCGGCGAGCCGCGGCACCGAGCGGCGCAGCTCCGCCAGCACCTCGTCGTACAACGCGCGCTGGCGTCGCGGCAACGCGGCGCAGAGGGCGCTGTGGAGCCACGACGCCGCGCGCGCGCCCCCCGCCGCCCACATCGGCGCCAGCGCCCGCCTGAGGCGCCGCGCCGCCACGCGCGCCTGCTCCCGCCTCAGCGTCGCGCCCGCCGCCCGCCCCGCGCCCGCCAGCCGCGCCAGCGTCATCTCCCGCAGAGCGTCCAGTGCGGCGTCGGCGAGTCGCCGGTGCGCGGCGCTCGGCGCCTGCCCGCCCACGCGCCCCTCCCAGTCGCCCGCTTCGTCGTCGGCGTCGGCGTCGGCATCTGGATCCGTTTCGTCGGCGTCGTCGCCCGGCAGCGGCGCCGCGACGTCGCGCTGTACACGCTCGACGTCGAGGGGCGCGGCGGAGGCGGGGGGAGGGGCGGCTACGAGCAGCTCGCGCACCTCCGCCACCGCCCCCGCCCCCGCTCCGGCGCCGTCCCTTGCGCGCGCGTACGAGTGCTCGCACCACACACCGGAACGGGTCTCCTGTGGGTTTGCGGGACGCGATATACTTTACTGAGAATGTGTGAAATATTGACTATTTAACATTTAAATCCCGTCTGACTTCATTGATGACCCTCATGAGTCATTCATGAGCCGTGACAGCTCAGTGTCCGGGCGCTTGCCTTAAATGCAATATACTTGAGCAACCTGAATTCGGGCCCCGGTGCTGGCACCAATGGAATTGTTAATTTTAAGTGCTAACTTATCACTTGCTCAGCAAAGAACGAAAACATCGTGAGAAATACTGCGTATTCTTCGAAATAATATCAAAAGAATATATATCGAAGATATTTGAAGTCAATCAATCCTCAGTGGAGCCGTCTACGCCCTGATACCCTCTTTATAGATAATGCCTTTGCCAGTATTAGCTGTTCAACAACAACTAAGTAAAATACATAAATCAGATATAAATTACAAAACTTTTTAAATATTGTTAGTTCTTAAAACACTTTTTAATATGTTTCTGTAAAATATTGTTTTATTTTTATTTTAAATAGTCCTTAATGATTCATTAGATTTTATACAAATAAAACAGCAACTACACATTATTTTGTATTAAATCTTTAGAATAAGTTATTCTCAAATAATGTTAGAAATATTGGAAAGTGTTACAAATTGTAAATAATTTATGATATCTGAATATTTGTATTTATGGAATATAAATTATTTAACACTTTCTTTTCCTATATTATTAAATGAATCTATGGAATAGATAGATAGTAGATCTATATTAAATAATAAAATTTAGCTTTATAAATCCAATACATATTTATTAGAACAGAAATGCATATATGCATATTGTTTTTTTTTTTTATTTATTTCAGATCGCAAACAGAACATCACTCTTGAACATTTTCTATAGATACAAGTTTAATAAAAAATATATAGTACATAAGTGAATATTCCACTATAAGTGAACACATCATGTAAATTGTTAGCTATAATATGATCTTTTTATTGCTCATATACTTATTGACAAAAAGTTAAGGTGATTTTTAACAGAAATTTTGTCAAATATAATCACTAACAGAAATTCTTGACATTGAATAAGAAGAATATTTGAAGAAGAGAAACATGATCTTACTACATAAGATCTGGTATCATTAAATTGTAATCAAAGCAGTAATAAAATTATTTATTACTGCTTTATATTTATTACAATTTCATTACACTTAAAGCAGAAGCACATTGCTATTAAGGCTCTAAGATGTCTAACAAAATCTGATGTATAGTTTAGAGATAAATATATCTGTAATGAGAGAAGATTGCAGAAATTGTTTTAACAACAATACTAAACATTAAAACTTAAATAAGATCTTGCTTTACCTAGACAACAAACGTCTTATTTTAAAGATGAATTTATAACACTTTCCGTTTTAAATTGTAGAATTAAATGCATATCAAGTCAAAATCTTACTCACTGAATCTCCAGCAACAAGATGTGTGTAAGCCACGAGGCGTTCATGGAGTTTGAGTGCTGCAGACATGTCTCCTTCCATCTGAAAACAGTAAGTACATACATTTGACCAAAGCTTTGAATGAAAATTATATTTTCGTCTCAATAACATTAAACCTCAATTTTTGTCCTGTTCTCTTCTTATCTTTTGTAATCCCTGTAAGAACTTTGTGTTTAATGTAACATTAGTAGTTTAAAATAATGATAGAATAACTAAGAAAACAGGAAAATCTTGGTTACCAGTTGTTCAGGTAATTCAACCTGTTGCACTTTTCAAAATTGAATATAGAAATATTGATCAATGTCAATGCAGACACCCTGTTTTATTCAACCTTGACATTGGTAGTAGCATCTAATTATTGATTGCGCCATTAAATACAATTTAAAATTTTACACTAACAAGTTTACAATTTAAACATGCTTAAATTCAGAATTTTTAATTATCACTTCATATAATATCATTTTATTTCCTTCATTTACATCCTACCCATCAACAATTCCGTTTGGTAAATTTCAGAGGTTGCCTGGAAGAAATTGCTATGTAGCAATAAGGCCGCCTTTTGATGATCAATATTTGATAAATATTTTGTTTTTTGTACTTTTTCATTTTTTTTTTTGGTGTACAATAAATTATATTATTATTATTATTATTATATAAAAAGTCTTTGGCCTCATCTGAATGTGATAAACACAAAAAAGTACCGATTGATTTGCACACAGTTTTCACCAATAGGTTTTGTGATTCAAGAGGAAGGGATAAAAGATAACAGCTACTAAAATAATTCATTAACATTTTGTTCAAAATGCCTAAAAGCCATTTAAAAAAAATTAATAACCATCATTGTAATAATATTTTTACTCCAACAATTATGGTTAGTTATAGTTGTTAGAAAAATTATATCATGCAGATAAAACCTGTGAAATGACAAAGAGTGATGTTAGCATATCATAAGAGTAATAATTAAATTATACTTAAGATCCACAACAGGATAAAGCTATGCTCCATATTGTATAATTGTGTTGAACAACTATTTTAATAACAACAATTGATAAATTTAATGTATAATATTCAGTACCTAACTATAAAAACAAAAAAAAGGTGTCTCACAAACTGTCCATTTACAAAAAAACCTTACACTTAAAAACAAACCGTATAAACAAACGCTACAACGTCTCTAAGTTGATTTATCTATAAAATAGTTTAAATATGTTTACAAACCTCTCTTTGATAATCTGCATTACTAGTATTCGACTGTTTAATAATACCGCCCGCCATAATCAAACATTATCTTCGATAACCGTTTTCAAATTGTGTAATGGCTTCGGTTTTACGATATGGCTTTTTAAAATGTAAACAATAGCAAAGTTCTTAATATTTTCCTTTTTTAATGCAAACTTCAAGAGTCAGAATCATATAACCTAAACCTAAGCCATAAACTGACAGTGACAAATGACAATGACAATAATTGACAACTGTGAACTGACTGAACTGGTATGCAGTCAACAGTTCAAGGAGAGTTTGATTTAGGTATGTTGAAAACGATGTTACGAAAACTTTAAAAGGACAGTAATTGAAATAAAAAAATATATACTTACTCCAAATGAACTCCTCATATGATCCTTAATTAAAATGATGTCCAAATTTTCCAATAACATTACTTCAACAATCACTCGAACGCTTAGCTATTAAAAAAGACGACAATTTTTCAGTGGAATTGTAGAAGCATCCCCAACAAGAAATATGACGTCATTTTCTTAATGAACTGCGTTAAGGCTGTCATCCTTGCCATCACAGAGACTTGGTTAAAACCGTCTCTGTCGTCTGTTTTCAGATTTTCACAGTATTCGTGCTTCCGTCATGACCGGGATGATGGAAAAATTTATTGTGCTCTTGTTGTCTCAAGATCCACTAACTTATCACAGATTCATCCATAGCATAGCTCTCTTCATAGCTCGTAGCGTGACTCTGAGCTACGATAAAAGGCCAGCTTTTAAAGTCCATGTTTTAGTGCCATACTTCATCACTTTAACACAAACTGGTTATACACCCTTGTCTGCTTACACTACTACTCAGAGTTCCAAACTCAGGTTGCTCATGTAACTAGCTGTTGCCCGCAACTAGGTTAGCGTGAAATAGGGTGAAATAGGGTGAATATATATATATATATATATATATATACAAGATTTGCTCGTTTAAAGGTATTAGATGTAAGTATGTTTGTATTATAATTTTGTTTTGTCATCAAATTTGTAGTAGGGCACGCAACAGTGTTCGCTGTTGCACGAATGAGCAGCGCCGTCCAGGTTAGTACCACAACCTCGTAGAAGACCGCTGTGAAGTAGAAGTGTTACACTTCTGCGTTTCGTCTGGAGAGTGAGATAGCCGGGGCCCACTTTACTAAAAGATGGAAACGCGTCTGCAACCCTACGGGTGTTGCAAATGTCCATGAGCGACAGTTATCACTAAACAGTTGAACCGCCAGCTCATTTGCCACTTTATCGCATAAAAAAAATCAAATAAGTCTTCTGCTCGTTGGCTTATGTCTTCTTAGTGAATAAAAAAATTAAATTTCTTTTGGTTTACCTTTTACGCTGTAGAAAGAGCGACTGGGTAATATCCTTCTTATTCCTATATAATAATACTGATGCTGCACAGGCCTAAGTAATAGCTTTGATTCAATATTTTCAACAAGTGTTAACAACGTGCCACCTTCCATCAAGCATGTGTGATAGGCATCTTGCCAAGTTTTGGATTTTTCGTTGACTTTTTAACATTTCTTCGTCGCCTTTGAGTACAAATAGGCTGTAATAAATAGAAAATAATAAATTAAATTTTGCAATATTTTTTTTACTAAGGAATTCTGGTAATGCAAACGGTTAACGTACGACTTTCTCTAAATCGTCCTCGTCTACTCGTATGGAATAGACTGTTTCAACTAGGGTTAGCTAATAAAGTATGCAGTATAGCATTAAGCTCGCCTATGTACAATTTTAAGTTAAATAAATAAAAAATAAACCGACACACCGCAAACACATGTATACTGGTATACCGGTTTACTATGTTTCAGAGTGGTTCTCACCGCTCCTAGCCAACAAATACAACAGTCGACGGCTACCGATGCAACAAAGCCGTTATGTATCCAGAAGATTGTCTCGACGTCAATGTCGTCAAAGACGTTATACGAATTAAAAAATGACGTTAAAGACTCTCTTCCGGACGATGACGATGATTCTGAGTAGATTACATTAGAGTCGATTATAGATGATTTACGAAAAGGACTGATTTGGTATTAACAGTTAACATTGAAAACTGATTTGTTGTATTTTCTAATTTTGTCGTTTTTGTTTGAATATTTGTATTAATTTACACGATCAATATAATTTTTCAAGTCGGGTATAATTTGACTTGTACCATATAACACATGTTTCAAATCACGAGAATTTTAGCTAACTGACACAATTCAAAGTAATTATCACAACAGTGGGATATACATAAACTGACCACTTTTTTTCCAACTCAAAGTGGGACATTGATTTACAATAAAAATAAACATTTTAACCTTTTAATTTTCTTTATTCCGATAAGATTCAAAGATACAAAGAAAAAAATCATCATTTCACTATTTTTTATTAAAGCAACTTGGGTATGTTTTTAAATATTGTTATATTTCTCAGAGGAACAAATTTGTTTTAATAAAGAACGTGACGATTTTAAATAATAATAAAGTTTGGCACGTTTCTCCCCTAAACTATGCGACACTTCGCATCTGATATCCGAAGGAGTGTTAATTTGCGCAATAAATGGATATTTTATTTGTAGGTTGACATTAAAGGAACACTTGGGTTTCGGCATAACTATAGGAAAAAATTCAAAACAACATTACACAAAAACATAAAGAAGTCGTGCAAGAATACATGCACGTGGCTAGCCTAGTAAAAGAAGTAAATGCCCCCTTCCCTCTCCTCACGGCGTTACCTCGTAACCGTGCATGCGGGGAATAACCGATCGCGGTTCCGCGCTGCTCATGATCAAGTCTGACGAGCGTGGTTTTAAAATTTTAAAGTTTTAAAAAGGTTTCGGAAAACGGGACAATTTTGCGTCCCGAAGATTTGTTCGGGGACAAAGGGACAGCTGTCCAAAAAAAGGGACAGTCCCATTCAAAACCGGACGTATGGTCAGTTTAGATATACACTATAAAAACGAATCTATACGTTTCATTCATTTTTTATTTGGTTAAAAAGTTATTATAGGAAGATTTTCTAATAAGTTATTTTTTTATACTACACGTGTATGTATCAGTTTTCACAAAGGCTATTTATGCTTATACTAAGGTGCAACATAATTTAACTCTACTTATATCATATAACACATCTTCTTAGTAAATATTTTACTTTATAGAAGGTACAATTCAAAGTTGTTTTACGAATTTCTGAAAAAGTATATGATTTTTTAACAAGACTATAATGCAAGATCAAAGAAAATTTTTTTAAATCTTGTTTTTGCTCTCCTGTAAAATAAAGATTTTCGACTTGTATCACTGATCACAGGAGGCATGACTAAATTTTTTTGAATAAATCTTGTTTATTTATACTCTCCTGTAAAATAGAGATTTATGAAATAAGTATAGTCTATATTTACAAGGCACTGTAAATATAAATGTAGTTAATAAACAAAAAACAAACTATTTAAGCAAACGCAAAAGAAAAAAAATCATTTACTAGATTCATCTCTTGAATGATGAATAATAGTCTATAATTTACAAGAGTAAAACATAAATGTGATAACGAGAATAACACCATTAAGAAAACTTAAAGCGTAGCAACGCAGAGAAAAAATCTCAAAATTTTAACGAAGCATCATCGATTCGACTAGGCTAGATTTTACCAGAAATTAAAACCTACCATTTGTATCGCATACAAATAAAAATACAAAAATGATACGCCCACTGCTATTCTTAACAGCGTAAACAACAAATAAATATTATCAAACTAACTCTTATCCTCGGTTTCACCCGCGCGGCCAGAGGGTATATATATATATATATATATACCTATATTTTGTACAGTCCACACAATATCCTATGTGTTATTCTGATGTATAAGCTCTGGCCGAATCGAACCCACGACCCCCGTTGCCGAAGCCAATACCTTGGCAACTGCGCCACGGAGTCATAAAAAAAAATGTATATATTAAATATTATGAAGTAAGTACCTAAGTATAGTTAGGATAATATTAGTGAAATAAATTTACAGTGATTGCAATTCACGAATACTAGGCGTATATAAATATAGATGAATAATTATATTTCTGTATTTTATGGTTACATTTCTAAAGTTATTATAAAAAAATAAAAGACAAAGCTGTAATAAGGGCACGTCTGTACTCGATTGGTATGAAAATATAAATAAATAACGTCAGTTGAGAAAAGAGCATTCGTGCTTCTTCTACGTTATTGGCCATTACATGCTGAAGACCTCTTAAACTGCTTCTTAAGTGTTCTGTTGACCCGTCCAGTATTTTCTAGTGAGGGATGGTTATTCGTCGTCATTATTCGAACGAAAGTATTGAGCATTAAATTCAAGGAGCTAAGTTGAGGGCGATCTAGAATGGTAGAGCTAAAGCTAAATAAAAAAGGGATAAGTGCGAGTGGGTATTGCATCTTAGGTGTACTGTTAAGTAAACGTATTTCATCCCGTAATGATTGTGTTTACCTAAAGTGAATATTAACAGAACATTATGGGAACGTAATTAAAATAGTTTAATTTTTATATGAAACTATTTTCAATATTTTTACATGCTTGCAAAAGAACTCTTGTTCTTCTTTCTTATTTCTGCCTGACGTAAGCCGTCCTTGGAAAATAATACCTAGATCCGGAACATCTGTGAGTCCCAAAAATACTCGTCATGTATATGAATTGTGAATTGAACTCACGACACCCAGAGCCTTAGCCGCTAGCTTAGCAGCTGCACTACTGAGCCATCAAAATACTCATGCAAAAGAACGTTTAAGGAATATAAAGTTGAAGAATAGTTTTCACCAGTTTTTCGATAATTTTATATACTCCATGAGAAATTAATTTAAATTGATGTTTAGTTAACACACAAAGCTCATCAAACGAGAGTATTTTTAATCTCATATCTACGATCTACGAGGTCCAGTTACGGAAAATATAATTTATGACTAATTTTGTTAGTGTCTTCACAAAGATATGTTGATAACGCGCCCGAAGTGAAGCCACGAAAATGTCCCAATTGGGACGTCTTGTCTTAGTTCAAGTTAGTTAGGGCGATGAGTAAGACACCATTTCAAAAATTTTACAACAGTTAAAATGCCTTAAAAAGTGTGTTTTTAAAGATCTGCCAACTACAGTTATAAAGTTAAAAAGTTTCAAGAAATCTCATATAGTACATAATGCATGATATACATAATCTTCGATTTATTAGTATATTTAATTATTTTCCTTATATTTAAATTTTTGGAGATTAGACAAGTACAGATGCAAATGTAGGCAGTAAAGTCAACGTTTTCAATAGTTCAGTTTTCCTTTTTTATGCCTATTAATCAACACTGTGGTAGTGCCACGTAAAAGTATACGCTGTTACACGAATGACTGACTTTAAAAATTGCATAATCTAATACGCGACACTGATTATATGCCACGACCTCACAGAAGATCGGTCTCCTGTAAGGTCGTGGTACTTCCCCTGACGGACCTGCCCATTCGTGCAACATGTTCTGTATTTGTGCCATCAAGGTAGGTTATGTATAGAAAGTAACGAAGACAAATTCACTTGTTTTATCGATTTCATCTCTGCACGAAAGGGTACGACGGACAAGGACAGTTTTAGGACAAATTTTTTTTACTCAACGTCTAGTCCCAAACTAAGTAACGCTTGTACTATGGGTACTAGATAACTGATAAACATACTTAAACATAATTTTCTTTTGTAAATAGATACATATTATACATATATGAACAGCCAGACACTAGAAAAACACTATGCTCATCACACAATATTTTTCCAGAAGTGGGGATCGAACCCACACCCCACACCACTCGATTCGGGTTGTCAAAAAACCCTTTTTTTCGGGGGGCAACGCGGCCCTTTTTTTTCTGGGGGAAATAAGATACCCTGTCATTATATGACAGGGTTATGTGGGGTTCTTACCCCCTAAAACCCCCTCGGTGGCCTCTGTACGTTTGGAGGCACTCCGGGATCTCCTACGGAACACACTGGTGTCCCTCGGTACTGGGCGTGCACGCAGCTCGGAGCCACTTCGTGCTGCTGCCAATCCGTGTCCCATTTTAGTCGTCGCCTTTGCGACAGGCAGTAGATACCTTAATCCTATACTAGAGCCCGGGACTACAGGGCTGACGGGGCAGCACGTCTGCCCCTGCCGGCCTGGCGCCGCCGCTCGACAACCGGACCCTATTACTAAGACTGTCTGTCTGTCCGTCTGTCACCAGGCTGTGTCTTAGGAACCGTGATAGTTAGACATTAGAAATTTTCACAGATAATGTATTTCTGCCGCTATAACAAAAAAATCCTAAAAAACAGAATAAAAAAGTTTGTGTGGGTCTGAGATTAATGTAATTCTCGTAAAATATGTTATTCTAAATATAAAAGTATTTTTTTTTAACTTAAGTTATGGATTTTACTCAGATGTTGCGTTTCATATCTTCGTAGATAAAAATAAAAAGAGATCATAAATTTATAGAGATTTGTGTTTGTGGAATTTAAGTAACAAGTAGTTCTTGAAAAAACAAGAGTGGTTGTAATTTAGTCAGTCTTCTTTCGATAAGGTTTAATGTAAATAAGTTAATGAAACACAAGTGCAAGTTAAGAAGCCACTGCTTTATTTCTGATAAAAACGAATTTCGGCACCTTTAAACTTTAACTTTCATTTCACAAATAAATGGTAAAGTAAGGTTGCAGGATGTGTCAATATGTTTCATGTTATTGTCATCATCATAATTATTGGAAGATTGCGCCAACCGTATTACTTTACAGTCCTCGTCCTGTCTGCGTTCATCTTCAGACAATCCAATTTTGGCACCTGAAGTGAGAGAAAGTTACTAAAGTTGTTAATAAAAATTATAATACACATATATGATTGATTGACGGAAACATTTAACACGATAGATAGATTTGTTTCACCATATTCCCCAAAGAAGATATTTTTGAAGTAGACAAACATACTCTATTTGAAATGAGTCGATTACAGTAGTCATTGTGTGTACTCAAACTTAAGCAAGCACGTTTCTTTTATAATTGTATTTTAATTTGAGATTAACCATCTGCTCTTTGGCTTATTTCTTGTAAATAAATAGAAAAAACCAATGTTTATTTATATAGTTTTTATTTACCTTGTACGCTGTAGAAAGAGTCTCCCGGTAGTATTCTTCTTAATCCTATAAAATAATATTGATTCTTCTGTACAAACTTAGATAGTAGCCCTGATTCAATATTCTCAATGAGAGTGGACAAAATGCCGCCTTCCATTAAGCATGTGTGATAAGCATCTTGCCAAGTTTTGGGTCTTTCATTGATTTTGTAACATTTATTCGTCGCCTTTGAGTACACATACGCTGAAATAAATAAAAAACATGTTAATTAATTTTTTCTTGATTTTCCATTTGTATTTTTTTGGCATGATATACCACTGTAGGTCTTAGAGGTCTCTACAGATCCACCGGAATTAAGTTGGCTGGGCGCTCGGGGCGCCTAGCCCGAATATCGGTTATGCGTTATAGTGACTAAGCTCGAGGGCTCCCGAGGGAGCCTCGGCTCGGCTGTCACGCCATTATTATCATTATCAGTTTGGGAGGCCAGCAAGCTGTTAGGGCGCTTTGGCCGACGCTCCATGAAGTGATTAAGCTCAAGGGCCCCCGAGAAGGGATCTCGGGATTCTGAATCACTCTTTATCGCACTCGCCTACGCGTATAGCGTAACCAGAGGTGAGTGGGTTGGTGCACCCGCGTTCCAGGGTAGTTCTCACCGACCCAGCCAACGAATAACACAGAAGATGACTGCTGATGTCACAGTCCCAAGTCCACGCCATCGGTGATCTATTATTTTTGTTAACGTAAGTGTAATCATCATGCGTGACCCAGCTTAGGCCTATCAAGCTCTTGGTAACACTGCTTTCTGACGCGCTCTGTGATCGATGAAACTTGCTCATAGCCTAAGGGCTGACTACGGTGGTAGGGCCACGCAGCAGCCTCGGCTGTTGCACGAATGGACAGGACCGTCCGGGGAAGTACCGCAACAGCACAGAAGACCGCCGTGATGTGGAAGAATTATACTTCTGCGTTTCGTCTGGTGAGTGAGGTAGCCGGGGCCCACTTTATTAAAGGGTAGCAACGCATCTGCCAACTTAAGGGTGTTGCAAATGTACGTATGAGCACAGGCCCATTACGGGGGCCTTTATTTCAAACACGTGGGTTGTCGCAAAGTTTTATAAACACACATATTAAAGCGAAACTATAACCTCAAAACGAATCGTACTTTTTGAATATTTGTTTTGAAATAAGAATTATGAATACGGTTCTAGGTTACAAACAGCCAATTTCACTGTTTTACTTATTCAAAATATACAGAACAAACATCTTTAATGTGTAGTTTTCCACGATCATTAATAATTTCATAACGACACCTGGAAAACAATTAGTCCAGACAAGTCAATTGTTATTAACGGAAAACAAACCCGACTTCAAATATCTCGCTCTGTATTCATTTGATAATTGGTTTTCAAGAGTTCCCTAAGTATCACCGGAGCCCAAGACCCAATAACAATGAAATTATTTGACCACATGGGAAGTGCCAGCTTTCAAATAAAAAAAAGAATCATAAAAATCAGTACACCCAGTGGAAAGTTATGAAGTACAAACATAAAAAAATACAGTCGAATTGAGCGCTTCCTCCTCTTTTGAAGTCGGTTAAAAAGTAATAAAGCACTGTACCAGAATCAATGGTAGGACAGGATTCGTTGTCTATTTTCTTGCAAACAAATGGTCTCCTATGTTTACAGGATCCGACGTTGTACGAACCCGTGCGTACCGACATGACAACGCACTTAGATTCCTCGTCCCGATTTGTACTCGTAACATAGTTCGAAAATTCTGGAATTAAACGCCCTGTAAAAATTACACAATTTAGTAGGAATTTTCCTGGTTCTACTTTTAGTGGTTTTATAGTTTTAGTGAAATTTGACAAATATGTTGCAAAAGTTTTATTGCACATAATCTATAACATGAAAAAAAAAAATCTCTCCCTGATAATCAAAAGCACCAAGATTTAATTATTTTTTCTTGTGTGTGGTTTCATTTGTAGTGTAAATAACTATTTTGTTCTTTCAATTTCGCAAGACCAAATGTCAAATAGCTGCATGAATTTCAATAGTAAACTTTAAAGTACCAGTTTCGTATTCCACGATGAGAGCCACTATATTGCTTTGTATTTTTTATATGCGAGCAATAAAATGTAATTTTAGAAACATGGTAGTAAAAATTAATACTTAAAAAAAATCAAGGGTTCTTTTCAAGTACCTATTCCTCTATTTTAAGTTACAGTACCTAAGTATAATATTGAAGAAAACGAATAATTGATATTCTTAAGTCCCCCACCTTCAATGGAGACGAAGTCCCCGGCACCAAATTCATCACGGACGCCAACGAAGATGTTATCCACGTCTACCAGAGAGTCTGACAGATTAGCGGCGACTTTCCACTCTTCCGTGTGTTTGGGGTAAAACAATTTACCTCCCTCGTCATCGCAGGTCAGAAAGGCTTCTTCCCAAGTGCTGGACTTATCGTCCCAATGCAATTTATAGAAAGCGTCATATTCCGCGTTGTACGTATAGTCGCGACGAAAGAACTTTTCACCGCTCGCCAACACGCCATTTATAACTGCAAAAGAAAAAAAGATCAAAAAATGTCGCCATCCATCTTTTAATTTTAAATATAAAAAGAAACTTAGTTGAATTATTCATTTTATTTTGACACGCGTTTTTGTCAACGCGAAACTCATTCCTGCGAATTTCGTTAAAAGCTTTTTTTTAAAAAGAAGATAAGAAGACGAAGTATCTGGCCATGTGGGGTGGTGTGCCGACCGAAATTATCCCGATAGTCGTGTCTGATCCCAGTCAGCCTCTCCGGACATCTGAGGCGACTGGGACTCCGGGACGGAACGCTCCAAGCTCTAATGCAAAAGGCGGTGCTCCTCGATACCGCCCGCAACGTCCGCCGGTGTCCACCCTTTCACCCTAACCCTCGGCCGTTTGGTCTCCCCTGCCGAGGGCTTCCATCTGGTTGGGTCCTATTTATATATGTATTATATACAATATAGATATCTATATGTTTATTTTTATTCATAATATTTATTTTATATATGCAATATATATCTATATGTTTATTTTTTATCTATAAACCCAACCAGACGAGAAAAGAAATGAATATTCCCCCATAATTATCATTAATTTCAAGTTACTAAGACTCACATCTATACATCAACATTTAAAATTACACTCTATCATATTAAGAAAAATCCACTTAAAGTCACATTAATGTTATTTCAACTGCATATTACAAATTACTCAATTGTGCAATGAAACTATTTTGCCAAGTTTTGAAATTTTAATATTTATTTTTTAATTTTTATAATTTTCGACGGATATTAATCTAGTTAGTTAGTAAGTCTGTTATCTAGCAGCATAGAAATTTTATTATTTATTTATTTATTTGTTCTTCATTGCAAGTACCTTTAACAAAAAAGGGCGAAATTAATGCCTTTTGGCATTCTCTCCCAGTCCATTAAATTATTTATATGTATTATAGGCTAACATATTAGAAAAAGTTTTAATGAAAAAAAAATTACCTAGGATCGAGACGAACGTTTTCAGCAGCATCTTGATACGTTAGTAAAGTGTGACTAACTTGCAAAGACGAAACGTTGTTGTATATATTGCGATGATGTTGTCAAAAAGATGACAAGTCGATATAGTATGTCATTATATTCCGCATGGGCTACGGCATCAGTAAAATTATGAATGTAATAGTTTCGTCCGGAGTGTGCGTCATTTTCACATAACGATTCGTGGACGGATTATCATCATCATCATTTCAGAAAATATAATCAACAAGAAGACGGTTTCTATTATGATAATATCATTGGTTAAAGTAAGCACAAAAAAAATAAATAAATGTAATAAATAAATAAATTACCAATTTTTGGACGGTCAAATAAAAATTAACAAATCCATTCGCATGGGTTAAGTACTTACTATACATGGCAACGATTGGAATGAAATATGTTTTTTTTGAATTTTTTGTTTTTCTTTTAAACGTTGCCCTTACTTTAGGGTAACATTATCCTGTGTGGTAAGGACGTTTTACAAACATAAATTTCACACGGACAAATACCCAGATGCGAAACTACTATCTGTGGGTCACACAAATAGTTGTCCCGTGTGGGAATCGAACCCACGTCCCCCGACGCTGAAACCAATACCTTGGTAATTGCGCCACGGAATCATCAAATATTAATATATTTTAAAATTTCATTATTTATAAATAAATAGTCGAAAAATTTTTTTCTCTCGCGCTTGACGCTTTTCTGCCTGAAATAAATAAATTACTTTTATGGTTAAAATATTTGTTTTACAAAAATAACGTTTACTTTTTTAGATAAAAAGTCCTACTTAACATAATATAACCGAACTAAAGAGTAGGGGTAAAGGTAACGTTTCCGGAAGACCGGCAGCTGGTTCCACAGAGTGGCTGTGCGAGGAGGTTATGCTCTTCAGGTCGAGTCGAGAATGGTTTAGATTCACAATTCGGTCCACTACAACTTTTTTAATTTATAAGTCGTTGTCGGATTTAAGCCGTGTGTACAAGACAACGTCTGTCGGGTCTATTTATTTCTCTTTTTTTTTTTTTTTTATTTATTTATCACAAAAATATACAAAGAATAGGCTTACCTAGCTATTCTCGCCAAACTTTTACGTTTGATGGCGAGACACGCTCGATTTTCAACATAATATCTTCTAAGTATACTACTAATTTACTTATAATATTAATTATACACATTTATTAAGTATATCTTTACACTATAATTATAACCAACACAGGCACTAATTAAAACAGTGATATACTTCTGTTATAAATAACTACTACTCCAATGATAATTCATCGAGAAACAACTGTTTAAGTTTTTACTTCAACACATTTTTACTGAGTTGCGGACTCCCTCTCAAAAGTTCAAATTTATTAAATATCTTAGGTATTAGAAATTTTGATAATCTTTCCCCATAATAATTATTCATTCTCGGTTTAACAAGCATTTTACATTTTACACTTCTTGTATCATATTTATTATTAACATATCTTTTATAATCATTACTATAGTAGTGACGTATGCCCATTAAGTATTCGATTTTTTTTGTCTACAGGCAGTATTTTACAACTAAGAAATAAGTTATTATAGTCCTGTTCACAATTATCTTTAACTTTTTTGGTCACTAGGTACTTAATCAGCCTTATTTATAAATTTTTAATATTTTTTAAATAGGTGCAAAACGTCCGCCCATATACAATGAGTCCATAGCTAATCAGTGAGTCGGCAAGCGCATAATACATAATGCGTAACGTGTGCTTGTCTACAACTGCAACTTTTGTGGCCCTACCACCATTCTCTAAGAAACTTCTCAATTTGCAAACAACCGACTGACTTTACTAAGTGAGAACGGCTACCTTTCATGAAACATATAATTACGATCTATTGTAACGGTTTCTAGTTTTTGGAACGTCCTGTATGTTCACTGAAACTACACATAAAATGTCGTCAAATTTCGATGTATAATATTACAAACCGTTGCTTGTGGGGTAAGCACAAACGAAGTCCTTATAATCAGGACACATTAAAAATACCGCCAGGAAATATAATTATGACATTTTTCTCTAGTTTATCTATGTGTTTTATGTTACTTTAACAAAGAAAATGTAGTTAGCACAAATATTTAAGTAACTGGTTTTTGAACTGTAACTCTAAAATTTATGGCTGAACTGGTCACTTTGAAATATTTGCCTGAACCTTACGTTCTCTACCAATTTTTATATGTATTTTTAATGTATTTATATATAATCTATAATATTGAATAATTCAAAAATATATTTAAATTATTTTATCTTTGGTTTAAAAATTCATCAGCCACGGACTTCCGTGATGACTAGATAAAATATTAATTTATCCTACAAAAACGTAGCGTTTTTGCAGACTAAGAACTTTAACGTCGTTGTGTTTTGATTGGTGGCTTTACTATTTGGAATTTTTATATTGTTGTAGAGCCCCGTACTTCTCTGATCTGTCTTCAGCTGTTGCACGATGCATAAAATGAAATAAAAAAAGATGTTTCAACTACTACAAGGTAGTTATTACCGCTTCCTGACCAGACCAGACCAAGCAAAAATGATAATATTTTTGCTTTTGAATTTCGTCTAAATATCAATAGCCTTGTCTCCGTGTTAAGACCGCATCGTTGTTTATTCTATGAAGGATTAATATGAAACCATTGAAAAAGCAAACTTTTATTTCGCCGAATAGCAAAGAGCCTAAAAATAATAACACCTCCACATTTTGAAAGTCATGACTGAAATACATATTAACTATAATATTTCTTACCTATTTAATTCTCTACCTATAAAATTTTATTTAAGTACGTTTGTAAATCTTGTAGTTAGCCCAAAGATATATTTAGGTTTTTAAACGGTTTTATTTAGCTCGACACGTACGGAATTTATTAATAGTTACATTTAAACTGCAAATATTGGCGTGAAAAGATAATTTTTTGAAAATTATTTATAACAACAAAGATTACTATGTTTTGCCAAAGCTAATGGCTCAACATAGTATAATATAAAAAAGGACCAAAATATAATTTATAAAACACTTATTACCTCTTGCAGTTTTGCGAAAAGTATAAATATATGTGCATATAGGTTGTCAACGCATCTGTAACCCTCGGGTGTAGCAGATGTCCATGGGCGGCGGTATTCACTTACCACCAGGTGAACCGTCTGCTCGTTTGGCAACTTTTCACATAAAAAAAAAAAAAAAAATCTGGCATACGGATTTTCGACTTACCCCGTTACCTTAAAGGTAACATGAGGTGAAAGATAGCCACAGATAGGAAGGTATTTTAAATATTTCATAAATAGTTTTTCTGTTGGATTGACAATTTTTAAAGTTACAAAGACATCCTCTTAGTGTGGATTTGTTTGGTATATAAGAATTAGCGACCCGCCCCGGCTTCGCATAAACCTTCCTCTTGAATCACTCTATCTATTAAAAAAGACCGCATCAAGATCCGTTGCGTAGTTTTAAAGATCTAAGCATACATAGGGACAGACGGACAGCGGGACGACTTTGTTTTATACTATGTAGTGATAATATTATTTATTTTGACTAAGGCATCTGTGATAGTGCCACGCAGTCTTCGCTGATGCACGAATGGGCAAGTCCATCCGGGGAAGTACCACGGCCTCACAGAAAAATCATGTGAACTGCAAGCACGCTTGCCACACATTAAAAAGGAGATCTGGGGGAAATCAAATCACCCAACTTGTTATTTAGTAAACGGGCAAATAATTTATGAGGATCGAAATGTGTAATAATTTGATTTGATTATCGCGTTTACTTATTTTGCTTTTCTTCAATGATGGTTTGCAATTATTGAAAAAATATCGAGTAAGTCGCAAAATAAAATAAGCAAGATAGTAAAATATCGTGGTCGTATCAAATTCGCATTCGAAGAACGTTGATTGCTGACACTTAATTTTGTTTGGTCCACTTCTAGGGGAATACCCGTACATTTAGATGTCAGCGTTATTTATATCGTTTGTAATGGTCGATGTCATTCTATAATGAGTAATATGGGGTAGAATTAAGCTTCTTAAAGCTTGATGAGAGATCTCAAGAAATAAGCTTAGTTTTCATCAAGGGATATAATGTTTATGAGTAATTACATGTACATTTAAGAGTAATATTTAATAGTTTTAATATTCATGTTGTTTAATAGCGCTGATATTATATATGAATCTTGTCGTAGTTCAAAAAAAACCCATCAGAAAATTTCACAGATTTGAAAAACACTGCACCATCCATGGTTTCTAAATATGCCTTTTTAATGTTTTATTTCGTGTGATTCGGTCTTTTTATATGTTGAATAAAAATACTCTTACTATTAATTTTTACTTTTAGTGCAGGTCTCTGCAGTCAAGATAATTTAACACAAAAAAAAATAGTTTAAAATATCCATTACTTTCATTATCATAAACATTCGTAAACCTTGATAATTGTGTTCCGTGTAATAAAAAATACCAACAATATAATGAGATTGACATATTGTATACCACGCTCTTGAAAGCCTTAGTGTGCTCTATTAGGTATCCCGTGGCAGCCAGAGCGCATAAAATTGATTATTTAGAAGAAGTGATTACAAAAACTCTAAAATTAAAAGGTGTAATGTGATTCATTAAAATTATGGGATCCCAACCTGGAAAGGATTCGAAACGTCGGGAATTTAAAATTGTAATTAAACGCGATAAAATCCGTAAAAAAGTTCCGTTGAATTAACTCAAGATTTGTGTTCACAAATTTTGATTTTCTCTAATAAATGTTGAATATTCCAGCAATTTATCGTTCGACCGAAAGTTGATGTTTGAGATTCTGATGCGTATTCTTTTTTGTGTGAGAAGGTGGAAAGCGACGTGGCAGTTCACCTGATGCTAAGTGATAACCGCTGTCCATGGACATTTGCAACACCAGCAGGGTCGCAGATACTTTGATAAATTAAGTGGGCCCGGCTACCTCACGCAAACGCAACGTTTCGTAGACGCAACGCAAAAGTAT